CAGCACCACCATGCATACCAGGCCTTTCTATTGCACCAACCCAACAACTCCATGCTCTTAGTTGCGGCTGTTTTTGCATTGTTGGTCGCCTTGTCAAGGACTGATACATGTTGTTTGTATTTATTGTGACTCTATCCCCCTTTTTTTCCTTCTCTTCTTGCCCTCCTCCTTTTCTTCCCCTTGTTCTCTTGTGCGTGTTTCTCCAGTCTATTTTATATCCAATACATCAAAACAAACTGGTGGCGGTTGCCACCGGCTGCAGAAAAAGCAAACCAAGAATGCAACAAAGTGGTGCAGCCTAAACACTGTTGGTTGATGTCTCGAGGATTGAAACGTAGATGCATGCCTTGAGCGGCAACATACGAACTTGCAGGGATATAGCCTATCAACTGATCTGACGGCAACACCCTCCGCCTGTCTTCTAGGCATTAACTTTCCCCATTCTCCCACGATCATGACTGGGAACCATCACGTACCACAGAGCTCATTGGTTCGCCCAAATTCGTGCACCCAACCGTCCAGCACGACTCTCCCCAACGACTAGCCAACAACTTCCACAGAACACCGCGATTCGCTATAAGATATGCATAATTACCCAATGCAGAGGCACACGAGACGCTGTCGTGGGTGTTCCCGCCTTTCTTGGCCTCCAACCAGGACGATAAGCCAAACACCCTCCGGGCGAACGCTGTTGCTATTTTTGGCTGTCATCCTCAATCACCGTATGCAAAGCGGATGTGTCGCCGGGCCATGGCTCCCTCTGTAGGCGCTCGTCAAGCCGAGACAAGAGGACAAGTTGCGTAAAGCGGCCTGGACTTAGTTTATATCCGAGGAAAAAGAGTCTATGGGACAGACAGTATCACGAAACAAGCCAGATGTCTTGGATCCATCACACCTCGCCTCTTACTCGCCAACTTACCTAAGCGCGGATACCGTTCGGCCCCGAGCCGGTATTCTACAATGCCTAGGTACCTGCCTAGAAGCTACCGGTACCGGTATGTATCCGTACGTACGGATAGTGAAGACCGTGGAGTTAGCTTGTGTCTCTCCAGCCCCCCCGGCTCTACTTTTGTTCAGCTGCCCCGGCGTCCACTGGAGACTTCCCCAGTGTTCAGTGCTTCATCTCGGCCACGGTTCCCTGGACGATGCCCAGTTTTACCCCGACCAAATGCTACAGAAATCGGAGCAGTGACGCATATGCAAAGAGCGACTAGAACACCGTGACATAGGATAAGGATCAACGCACGTATCTTGGTCTTTGGCGCAAGAGAACCCCCACCTGGCAAGGATGCGAGCTTATTAGCCAGTTGCGTGATCATCTATCGGATGAAGCGCCAAGCCGGCAGTCCCCTGCGCAGAGGGACGAACCATCGCGTCTGTTGCGTGTTCGTACCAGCTTGTCAGAGGTTCTCTGTCTGGGGGTCGAAAACCCCTCTGCTTTCCCATGGGTCGAGAGTTGAGCTGGTTTTGCTCGACAAGAAACTGAGCGGACTCTACAGTACATACGGCTCGTTTGCTCCAGGTCTCTTACTGTTATTGGCCTTCAGGTATGAAATCAGCGAGCTCTGCACCCTCCAAGTCGTGCTGCTGGATGTGGTTCTTGGCGGGTTCGCCAGATCTCCTCACAGGGTATCTCTGGCTTCCAGAACGCTGCGCCAACCGATCCGACGACGTCACCGCGATTCGCAACTTGGCAATGCGCTGACACAGGCCGTGCCCTTCCCGAGTCTGTAGTGTAGCGCAGCCAGCATGGGGGGAGGCGCTGGGGTACACAGGTTGCGTAAAGTGGGTGGTATAATAATACTCTCACTAATCCACACCCATCCACCTCCCCGCTAGGAGACGTAGTAGGAAAACATCAGTACGGGGAAGGCCGAGAGAGTCGGGCGAGAGTTAAGAAAGACATGCTCGGCGCCGCCAAGGTTCAACCTTCCCCAGTTCCTTCCTTCCCGGCCATATCGCCGTCATTCCTGGCTGTAGTCCAACCTCCACTACTCTCTGAGCCGATATAACCTCACCCTTCTGCGCATCCAGGGCAAGTCGGAGACCTATCCCACGGGTTCCTCAGGACTCATCTTCGGCATCCTATCCGCGTCATCTCACTGTTGCAGCGAGTCTGTGAGATTGGCACGGATCGCTCCTCGGAACACCGCATGCAGCCGCTAGTTTAGGCGCTTTCTCGCTCTCTTAGTCTCGTCTCTCTCTTCCCCCGCTCGGTTTTCTCCCCAAGCCGGGCTTGTTCCCACGGTGGCTCTCACGTGGGATCGCGCCGCGCAGCCCGCAGGACCAGATGACCCCGAAATATGTCCCCCCCTCTCCCAGCCCGCCGCCATGGAGAGGAGGAAGCTCGACTGGCGGAGATACTCTGCGCCGGTTGCCATCGCAAGCATGTTCCTCGCGGCCCTGTCTGTCGTACTCTACTTCAACATTCGTGAATACCTCACAGTCCGGGATGAGGTTCGATTCGATGTCTCTTTTCACCTCATGACCTTTTATGCGTCGAGTATCGGAAGCGCTAACGGCGGGTGACAGGCCAAACTGCCGAGGGTGACGGTCGATCTCGGCTACGCGAGATATTCTGGGAACGTGCTCCCCGGCGGCGTGAACCAGTTTCTGGGGATGCGATATGCGGCGCCTCCCATAGGAAACCTGAGATGGCGCGCTCCTCAAGACCCAGCGCCCAAGGAAGGCACGACGGATGCCATCGATGTGAGAAATCCTGCTGTCTTGCAGTATTCGAGTGCTCTCCCCGCTGACCAAATCCCTAGTTTGGGCCGATATGCCTCGGGACGGATGTGACTTATCCTACATCGGGTCAAGACGAGGATTGTCTGTTCGTCAACGTCTGGTCGCCCAATAACACGACACCGGACTCGAAGCTCCCTGTATGGTTGTTTATCCAAGGTGGAGGTAAAACTCTCTTCACTCGGTTGCGACGTCGTCTCGCAGAACGAGTCTCGCATGTCAATGTTTCTCTCAGTTTCGCCGAGCGTTTAGCCAGAATCTCTAGCTGACGTGACCCCAGGTTACACCTCCAATGCCAACCCCAACTGGAATGGCTCTCAGGTCGTCGACGTCTCCGACAAAAACATTGTCTTTGTCAACTTCAACTACAGGGTCGGCTTGTGGGGTTTTCTAGCGAGCGAGCGCGTTAGGACGGATGGAGCGTTGAACGCGGGGCTTTTGGACCAGCGACTGATGATGAAATGGGTTCAAAATCACATCTCAAAGGTGATTTCCAGCTCCCACGGCCACGCCACGCCAAACTCATACTAAGTCTCTCAACTAGTTTGGGGGAGATCCGGGACATGTCGTCATTCATGGACTTTCGGCGGGTGCGGGCTCAGTCGCTCTCCACCTCGCAGCCTACGGCGGAAGAGACGACAAGCTGTTCGTAGGCGCCATGTCAGAATCCGTTTTCTTCCCTGCCCAGCCTCGCGTACCCGAGCTCGAGTACCAGTTCAACAAGACCGTGGAGAAGGTCGGGTGCAAGGACGACAAGGACCAGATGGGGTGTCTCCGGAGCAAGGACATCAAGGCCATTCAGGACGCCAACATCGGCTCGCCGTTTCCGGGGAGGTCGGAAAATCCGCGCTTTTACTGGACCCCCTGCGTAGATGGCGACCTCCTGCAGGACTATCCGTACCGGCTTTACGAAAAGGGGTCTTTCCTCAAGGTGCCCGTGCTCTTCGGCACTGGTACTAACGGTAAGCCTGCCCTCGACGCTTTCGATGTTCTCGTGACTCACCACGTCCACAGAGGGATCCGTCTTTGCCGCCAATGTCGCAACTGAAGAGGAGTTCGTCTCCTTCATAGCGGACAACTACCCAAAGCTCACGAAAAATGAGACCGATCTAATGTCAAAGAACTACCCGCTTATGCCCGCCCTCCCGAATCACAACGCCTGGTTCCCCTCCGCCAGCCAGGCTTACGGCGAGGCGACTTTCATCTGTCCGGCCAACAACATCATGGACGCCTATGCGACCGCGAACCGGTCCTCCACGAGCTGGTCTTACCGCTTCAACGTGCAGGACAAAGAGAACACGGCCTCCGGGATCGGCGTTCCGCACGTCTTCGAGGCGCCCGCCATCTTCGGCATCGACGCGTGTCCGACGCCCGACAGTTTCCGCACGTACAACAAGCCCATCGTCTCGTTGATGATGAATTACTGGATATCCTTCATTCGGGACTTGAATCCAAACACCCATAAGCTCGACGGGGCGCCGGCCTGGGGCACCTGGGGGAGGAACCAGTCGCGGTTCGTGTTCGAGATCGGCAATAACCGCATGGAGAACGTCGACGACGAGCAGAAGTCACGATGCGGTTTCTGGAAGGGCATTGTACAAGCCACAGATCAATAGAGGGGCGGTCAGGCGAGTCAAAGAAGGGCCTTAGTCAGGGATGGATAATGAGGCGCCGCATGTGGTTTCCTGTACATACGAGGCTGTGTTTGTCCATGTATTAATGACAGCTTGAACGAAATTATACATGATGTGTTTTGTCTTCAATTACATAACTCCTCGGCTCATTTGCGCGCCATACTGCAAACTGCACATGCAATTAAGATGACTGGCGTGGGGAGCGAGACTGAAAGACAGACAACACACCGGGGGAGTGGCTCTCAAGTCGCGTAAGAAGGCCCAACCGTTACGCCGTTTTCCATGTAAGTCGAAGAATGCGGACTCGCTCTACGTCCCGAATCCACATAAAAGGCGCGCCAAAGTACCGTGCCGCAGCAAATGCTGACGCCCACCCGCCCCGTCTGACCACCGATTTCTCAACCTGGCGCGAGCAGGCAGGCAGCCCGCCTCGACATCCGCCGTGTGTCATCGCCACCGAGCTGTCAGACTCTTCGGCGCTTCCTGAGCGAGGATGCAGAGAGGTCAAACTACAGAACTCAACCCTCGAAGCAACCTTACGGACCCCCCCCCCCCCCCCCTCCCCCCCTCTTTCTCGACCTCGACGCTCTCGTGCGTGTCCTCCAACTAACGGCCAAAGCCATGGACCAGAACAGCCCGACGAGGGCTCAGATCATCAGCGAGCAGCCGGTCAGCCGCAACGAGATGATGCGGGATCCCGGCGTTCAGAGGTGCCGCGGCCGCCCTCCCGCGCACAGCGACGGTACGTACGTCGAGTCCCGCAAGTCGCGCAAGTCAATCGGGTTGTCGAACGATGCGGCTAATGATTGTCATACTTTTTTTTTAAAACTAGAAGAAGAAGAAGCCGCTTTCGCCGGAGAACGCAAGCAGACCCATTCCCCGAGGATGGCCATGTACTCGACGCCCGGGCGTCACGGGCGACGACGGCGGAGGACGGAGGCCGGGCCGATGTCGGATGGCATACTCGGACTTGTGGGTTCTACGCTAGACACCGAGGCCGTATCGTGGAAGTACTGACAGAAGACTTCACTAGCTCTTTTTTCTTTCGGGGCTCGTTTTCTGCTTCTAGTCTTTGGCCGGAGCATTCTTGGACGCCCGCGCCGTCGACTGACCCGTGATCTGGTCCGTCTTGTCAACCCATCTGCGAGGAAGCACTAACACTGTTACAGTCTCAATCATAGATTTTTAAAACGATGTACGTGGTTTCTTAGATACGTTCATTTTCATATAATCGTATACTTGTATATTACTAGTGGAAGTAATGCGGAATGCGCAATGAGCTCATGAAATCTGGCCCTGTCTCTTTCTCTCCGGTTTAACTCTACAATCAAGTGCTTGAGACCGTTTGATTAGGGATGGCCCTCGTTCATAATATTACTCTGGCCTCGGAGGTGGGCTTTTGGCTGGTCCCTAGGCTGGGGTGAATGAGGCGGCCTCAGCAGAAGGGGGGGCCGGAGGAGCCAGAGTGGGCTCCTTCTCCGGCTTCTTCCCGATGATGCAGTACCTAGAATACATGTCAATACAACAGAGTTCCGGGAAAGGAGGCAGTGGGTGTATGGAAACACACCATGGCGTATACGAGTGTGTGTTTCTGTTTTTGACCTCGTTTCGCACATCGATCAAGAGGACGTTGACCTCCTCGGGCGTCCAATCAAAAGCGCGCGTTAGAGATGCCATAGTGAACCCTTCTATACCAGCTAGCATGTTCTCGCACGCCACGGCGCCAAGCTGTTTGTACTTCTGATCCTTGGGCCATGTGTTAAGTGGGCACTTGTAGAGGCTCAGCGACACGTCTACGAAACCTATCTCAGAGAGAAGACTTTTCAACGACGGGGGCGAGACGTAAGTGCGGCCCAGCGTCTCTGCAGCACTCTTAAGAAGCTTGACCCACTTCAAGAGAATGTTGTCTTCCGCGAGGGTTCCATCATCAGACTTAAGAAAGATATCGAATTCCTGTAATTCGACCCAGCCGCCTGGAGCAAGGTTGCTTGAGATCACCCGTAATCAGCCTTGAAACATACTGACATTCTGACGTAGGTCTCGAATGTCTTTCCTGAGGAAAACGGCAGACTTACTCGTAGCACTGGCGTAGATATGCTTCCCAATTGTTAATGCTGGCCGTCATGGCTCGGCTATTGATGTAGTCAAAAGGCTGCGTCCAAGTCCATTCCTCTTCAACATCGTCAATTTCGAACTTGACGTTCGGGGGTACGCTATGTGAGAAGTGTCAGTAACGTTGAAGTAAATGGAAACTACCTCGGCAGCATGCTATTTAAAGCCATGCATTACGTACTAGCCAGGCAAGGTAGGGGAGAGATCGACGCCGTAGACCTATGGATTGCCCCAGAGTTAGGTCCCTCTCGATATTCAGAGCACAAAACTATGAGTCTTCTAGACTTTTTGAGCCTAAGGGACTAAGAAGATTACGAACCTCAGCCTCGGGGTGCTCATCACCAAAGTTAAGAGCCCAGATGCCGGTGCCAGTACCAACGTCGAGAACACGGCCAACTTGCGCACCTTCCTTGCAAGGTGGTGCAACACCGAGTCTGTCGTCAAGGAGAAGAAGCCATTGCTGGTGCTGCAGATCTAGAGGCGCTGTTAATAAAGAACGGCCGTGGTTCCATGGAAGTGAAGAGGCTAACCTAGGCGATCTAGCTCCCTGTCATCATTAGGGAAGGCATATTCTGGCACTACGGTCAGCAAAATTCTCAAAAGATGGTGTAGTCGAGCATACTGCCGTCCTTGTAGCGATGGTAGGTTCTGCCGTTCTCTATCCGGTAGTCCATCAGGGAATTGCGGAGACTGGTGGTCGATGAAGCACCGCTCTTCCGAGAGCAACATGTTAGACACTCTGCCCAAGAATCTTGGAATAGACGCTTGGACTTACACTCCCAACTTCCGAGGGGGCACCATCTTGCTGAGATGACAATCAGGTTAGCACACGTGAAGTATACACAACCGTCGGCTGTTCTCACCTCGTCGTCAATGTCGAGCACAATAGGGGGGTTATCTTGAGACATAGTGCCAGATATGATGTCAAGCCCAACAATATGAGAGCAAGAATTCGAGATGTATGATGGGGAAAAGAAAGGAAAGAACCAAGTGCTGGGGGTTAGCCAATGTTTTTGTAGCCAAAAAGACATATCATCTCTGGCAGGTGCCCCTCTTCTGTGTTAATCGGTTGGTCGGGGACAAAACGGGACAACGTGCAAACATGCATATGCACCTCGGCGCATAGTTGCCTCTTTCATGACCAACCTGGAACCGAGAAATCTTGGCTAGTTGAGGAGCGAAACTCGGCAAACGGGGTAGGAGGGGGATTCGCTCAGCCTAAAGCTGTGCTCTTCCCACTCGCCCTATCTGTTCGCCCAGACCCTGGGCTTCCCGATTCCCGACATGGAAGGCGTTCCGTGTCCGCAACACAACTTATCAATGTCCAGCTGCGGGGAAATTCCGATTCTTAATGTGGGTTTAGAAACCTTGGTTGTTTTGGAAGCATCGTTATTTTTTCACTACATAGCTCTTGCCGAACCAATGAAACACCAGTCAATAACAAAGTCACAAATAATTGGTACCACTTAAGCGCCTCGTTCTAATAGATTTAAGCTGACCCTCGTTCCGGTTGAAAGCTACGACTCACTTACAGAGGCAGGGGTAGGTGCGTTCTTTTTTTCTTTTTCTTTTTTCGTTTGGCGAGGTCGATGTGCCGTGGCAACATCATGAGGCCGGCGCCGGGGACGGAGACGGAGCATTACCTTGAGGTGGGGCCGGAGCGGGCTCCTTCTCCGGCTTCCATTCGATCAGACAGTAGTTGAACCAAATCTCAGCGCCGTCAAGACAGAAAAAGAATAATAAAATGGACCCAAATCGGCCAATACGCATGGATAGGCCTATGCTTATGTTGTTTCGTACGTCAACAAGGAAGACATTAACCTCTTCTGGGGCCCAGTTGTAGGCGCGCGTCAGTGCTGCCATGTTGAAAGCCTCAAGCCCGTCCGCCAGGTTTTGACCGTGAAGCTGGCCGGTCTCCTTGTACTTTGGACCCTTCACCGAATGATTAGAGGGTCACTTGTAGACGCTCAAAGACACGTCGACGAAGCCGATCTCAGTCGAAACCTTCTTCGGAGGCGGAAGAGGAATATAAGGACGTCCAAGTATTTTTGATGTGAGCCTAGCCTCACTCTTGATAAACGCATGTCACCTAGACCTGCGCGCGGTAAGACATCAAGTCACAGACCTGCTGGAATAGAGATAGTGTGGCGATTCTCAAAATGGGCTTGAATTTTGATACTGGATGTGGTCTACAGAGCTGTACAATAGACAAAGGTTGAAAACCGAGCTCGATGCGTTGACTGTAGGTTAGACACAATATCTTGACGGCTTCCCCCCCGGAACCTCGTCCTAGACCTTTGCGCACCCTACAAAAGGTTTAACTGCAGTGTTGAACTACCGCAGTTTCAAGCCGCTGGAGGAGTCTCCTATTTCTTACGTTTCCTCCTGACGAACCGATATATGTTGTGTATTTGTAGCGGCCAGCGGCGAAGTTACTTACCCGCAATACCTACAAGCGACCGAACGCAAACGACTCTCGTTGACGCCGGAGACTTGGCAGGATGACCTGCATGCAGCCCTCGACGCCGTGGCCCGACCTGCTTGGACGTCCGGCTCTGCAAAGGATTCGGCGTCGCCGAATCTTCTCTCCGTGGCGTGCATAGGCAGTACAGCAGTGTTCGTAAGAGGACATGGCACTCCGCGCGCATCAGGATGGGCCACTCTCGTCCGGGACGGCCGCCATTGACCTCGGCGTGGGCCCAGTCCTAGACGCGCGTTAGAGGACGGATGTGGATGCTGCCCCCCCCTTTGAAAAAGCTTGCCACATCTGGCGAGAAGTATGCGTATTATTCAGGTCAAGATGATGACGCGCCCTCCAAGGTGAGATGAACACGGCGATCACGGCGGCTTACTGGCTTACCCCGCACACATCACTCTACCGGTACAGTGGCATGCAGAAAGTCTGAAGTCATGTGGGTAGGGGGGAAATTAGCGGTTGAATTCAGACTTTCTGCATGTCACGGTACATTCGCCATAAAAAAGCATTTGCCGGCTGCGCATGACCCTTTATGGTTCAAGGTGGTACATGACATCATGAGATTGCTCGAAAAGGTGGAAAAATATATGCGCACAAACCAACTCCATATTATTGCGGCCTCCAAGAGAGACGATCCAGGTCCGGTCCGGTGAGATGTTGCTACCCTATGCCCATGCTCGAAATATTAAGCAAAAGTAAAATTACTCCTTGGGAAAGAGCTCCGCTGAGATATCCTTGCCCGCTCTCTGGTGGTTTGACCGGCTCGAACTTGTCGGCACATCACCGTCCACGTCCGGGTCATACTCGGCATCGTCCACATGCTTCGCCTTTTTCAACTTGTGACTCGCGACATCGTTCGACTCCGCAGCCTCTTGATCCGCCGAATCGGTGTCATCATATGGGCCACCGCCCGTGTGCCCTGCGTTCCAATCGGGGTCTTCGTCCGACAGACGCTCATGCTCATGCTGCGGCTGTTTGATGAAGGAGTCGATGATGTAGTACTGCATGGCGTTCATGATGAGCGGGAAGAACATCATGACGAAGAATATCTGCAGTTGCTCGTTGCCCTCGGTCCACCGCAGGGCCCAGTCGCCAACGCGGGAAATCCACGGCAGCAGGAGGAAGATGATTAGGACGCAGAACTTCATGCCAAAGAGGCCGCAGAAGTAGATAAACGACTGCTTCAGCCACCACCAGGCGTTGGGAGGGTTGCCATAGTTTCCAGACCGGATTGACTCTTCGGGCTTGCCCAGAGGGGTGTGTGATACGATGCCGGTCAGGATTCGGAGGAGCACGATAAGGATGGGGATACCGATCGTGGTCTGCAGCAAAAGTTAGCCATCAGTCTGAACAAGGGGTGTGGAATGGCAAAGAGTGCTTACGTCGATGGCGAGGTTGAGCAGATAGAACGAGCACGGGTTGGGAGTGTAATCCTCATCCCGTCTCAATAACCTCCGGGCGTTAGCCGCCACGGAGGGGTCCAGCGCTACCGAGAAGCGTCCCGACGTCAACATGGACATGAAGATGTTGGCGATGTGAACCAGGACGGAGCCAAACACCTGCTTGGAAACGTCGAAGAACCAGATCTTGACGGGGCGTTGCGGCCGCTCTCGCCATCGCTTGAAAACCAGAGACAGCAAGGCGAGGCCACCAAGAGCGGCCTGGACGATGAGGGCAAAGGAGCCGAGCAGGCTGCACTCGCCGTTTCCACCGTCATCCCCGTGTGTCGTAGCGGCCGTCGCTGTCGCTGTCGCTGTGCTCACGGCGCTCGCGATGGCGCCTGCGAGGGATTCTGTCGTGGTCGCAACGGGAATCATGGTTGCTGCTGCTGCTGATGCTGTTGCTACTACCGCTGCGACGAGTGTTGAAGGATCATCTTGGCCGCCGGTCGCTATCGCGTAGGGTGGCGGGGGGGCCATTAGCCTGGCTGATTCGAACGGGACTAGGAGGAAGGAGGGTGCCCGAGAAAAAAAAGGGCTGTCTCGTGCAGATGACGGTGTAACGTCTGGGTCGGAGGGGGGCGAGAAAAGTGGCCGGTATGGAAATGACGTTTTGGGACAGCCGGGCGATCACTTTCGGGGTGAACAATGAGTTCTGGCTGACTAGTCGGAGGGCGAGACAAAGGGCTTGCAGCCGCCGGTGGTATGTGTGTGGGAAAAATGAAACCCAACAAGGGGATGAAGAAGAAGAAGAGGAAGAAGCAACAACAGCAGAGCAAGACGCGTAGCAAAAGGGCCCCTATGTCTTGCCTGGGTGAAGGAAAAAGGGTTGTTTAAAGAGAGCGAGATTCGCACAGACGTATCCGTAGTGTAGATTAGAAAAAGAGAACAAGGGGTACGGGACTCTAGGTGCGGACAACCGAAAGGAGAGACGTGATCATCAACGGGGATTGATGTGTAAAGGCAGCCTGAGGCGGAGTAATACGTTAATACAGCACAGACGCCGGGTCTGGAGCAGGGTAAGGGGTCAGTAGTTGCCAGTGCTTTAGGCAGTCAGTTGACCTTTTTAGGTGGGAAAACACCCCCAAGGTAATCAATAACAAGACGCGATAGCGCAAAAACCTTGGGCGAAACCGCGGGTCAGTGAGCGAGTGCGCTGGGCGGGCTTGAAGTGTCCTTGGCACTTCAGGAGTCCTGCAGGCCAACGCCATAGCAAAATGACGAGGCGTCGGGTTTGGCAGATGTCTCCTCACTGTTTTGGCGTATCCGTAATCGACTTTCCCACGGTTGCATGATGCGTGCTGCATAGACTGACACAAGCGTGCTTCTGATTGGGCTTAGCGTCCCCGCACCCGTCAGGACCGTCATTAGTCACCGTTTCCCCCCCTTTGCCACTCGACAACAATCTGCCGCTGTGGCTGTTGGTATCCGTATTTCGACCCCAGGTGAAAGAGGCTCATCGGGCGGCAGCAACACTCGGGAGTCGGGACGTGTTCGGGCTTCGCACTTTTAGTCTACAAGTTCGGGGCTTCAGGTGGAGAGAGCAACATGGGCTTGCTCGGGAGGGCCACGGTCAATCGGACAACAGACGACGGAGCCGAAGGAAACACGGCCGATCTTCTCCAGCGACATCGAAGCCATCCCATGTGTGACTGGCGCGGCCAACGTCCGTCCAGGACTCCTAGTCATCTGTCCCGCCTGGGTTAACTGCTCAACCCTTCGTGCCAATACGAAAACGATAGGTCCGTCCAGCTGACTTTGGAGTCTCCTGCACTAGCAGAGTAGCCCTTAATTGCTGGGGGGGAAAACCGATATACGAGATCCGCAGATTATAGTCCCATTGCCCCACCCCCGCTCTGGCTCATCCGTCGGCCGGCGCCTCCGTAACGCGACGTCCGGTCCTCTTGGAAATGCTCAAAAACTCACCATCACTTATATATGTATGTTATGGGTCTGTGTGGGAAGAAGAACTACAAGAGCTAAGCGATAGGGCAACAAAGTCGGACCAATCTTCTTCGTCCTTTCTTGATTGCACCGTTGTCCCGCTCATTCTCGACCCGGCTATCAATAGCACCGCGAACAAACGTCCTTTGTTGTCCCAGCACTAGCCCATCAGCCAGCGAGAGAGAGAGAGGTGAGGAGGTGGCAGCCGCCGTGAGTCCCCAGGCCGACCGCGACCTTCTCTCTCCCCTCTCTCTCCCACGTGCCTCCCAGCGCCGCTGACGGGCCTGGAATTCTCTCCGCTCAACGGGCTTCTCTCCAGGCCTGTCCCGAGAATCTGGTTGCTGCGGCTGCCACCCCAGCAGTCTCAGCTGCTGGCATCTGCATAGAACCCATCATGGAACCTGGTCTTTGGGGTGGACATCATCTTGGCTGCTGCCACTGGAATCTTGTATGACACCAGTCTGCGGGCAAGATCCTCCGCGCGGTCAGCTTCTTCATCGTGATAGGACTGACCGTCCGGAAATAAGGCAAGCCTTGTCTCGAGTGGAATGTTTCAATTTCTCCACCCCATGTTCTCTAGCAAGTGGGGGAATGAAAGAAAGGAGCTTCCATGCCCAGTTTAAGCAATCGAAACTGCGCTCGCAAGAATCGCTTCAAATCCGTTTTTGCAGTGTCCTTACGCTGTTACCCTGCGGTAGTCAAGGAGCCGCCCGTGTGCGAGCCCGCTCGTCCCTCTTTTGCAACTAAAATCAAGCATCCTGAGGTATCCGACTCAAGAAATCACCAAATTATCCAAGGCAACCCGCGTCATCTCTATGATTTTCAAGCAGTACCGGTTCTCTCTACTGTCATCTTTCCCATCCGGAACCATCAAGGTTTGGGATGTGTGCAGTATCGGGTGAGGAAGCCCGGCTGCAACCATGGCGTCAAGCTGGTCGTGTCGTCTGTTCGACCTGTCTTCCATTTGTTTGATGATGTCCCTGAGACCGAGGTAATGATACGGCTCAGTAGAACCCGCCCCGCCCTTCCTCTCAAAATCGTGTCCGTAAATGTCAATCCTCAAAAGTGCCCTGGTGGAAACCCTCCAGGTGGCCGGGTCCATTTCTCGGCCCTCAACCATCTGAGATGCACCGCAGCGCATCTCGCCCCAGAGTCCGCCATACTCGTTGAAAGAGAACGTGATGTTTCGAGCCTCTTTGATAGCCCGGGCGGTTTCGTTATCGATGAGCTCGAGGATTTTGGCGTACGCGTTGGCGATCGATGGGAGAATGGCGCCCAGCATCATCATATTCTGGAACGCTTGCATCGGCGGCGGTTTCGTAAAGTCTGTAGAGCCGCATGCCGGGCAGCGGATAACATTGTGGGCTACCCGAGCTGCTGACCTGGCGATGCCCCTGGCGATCTTGACATCATTCGGTAGTCTCGATAAGGCGTCCAGAGAAAGAAACATCTGAGAAAGGCAGGGACACGAAGCGTTGCTATACGCTTTGACAGCGGCTTCTGACTCTCGATTGATGCCTTTGGCGTCGTTGATGCAGGCAGAGGGAGACTTGGGGTCGCTTGTGCTGAGCGTGCGGGATGTCTCTGATGATGTAGGGGGGGAGACGACTGACCCTGTCCTCCCGGACGCTTTCTCTGAGGACAGGCTAGTAAAACTTTTGTTGATATCTTGAGGCAAGCCCTCGTCAGCAGAGTCACTTTCGCTAAAGTTGATGCCACCTAACGGGTCAACACCACCGACACCTAACTGGAAGTCTCCCGTAGGATACCGTGGCTCGGCGTGGGCCATACTGAGACTCGATAGCTCAGGCGGCAGTGTGAACGGCGGCAAGCCTTCCAAAGGAGAGAGAAGGTCTAGATAGTCAAAGTTGGAGTAATAGTCCTGGGTGAAGAAGGCTGAGAAATCGGTGTCCAAGGTCGGTTGCGTGAAGAGTGGCACCTGCGGCTGCTCATCTGGACTCTGAGGCTTGTCGGAGGAGGGCGATCTTTCCGACTCTTCGACATGTCTGCGCTTCCGTGGTCGGCCCATTTGCTTCTGGGGCGAGTAGACACATTTCAAGCCTTCTCTCTTACAGCGCGAGCAGCCGTCGGGCTCTTTGGGGCAGGCAAGTTTCCGCGAACCTGTAAATTCTTATTAGGGACTTGAAGGCTGATTGGTGCCAGGGAGATATGAACTCACGACACTCGTCACACGCACGATGCTTGACGACACCGTCGACCGACTTGGACTGCTGACTACTTTGGGGCATGGCTCGATATGATAAGGGAAGGGGGGTTTAAAAAAAGGCTCTGTCGCGTACGCCTAACAATGTGCGATCGACGAACTATTTTAATTACTTGGAACTTCCCACACTGCTAGAGAGTGAGGTATCCAGGAGGGTTATATGTGACGGGAGTTGTGGGCAGGAGATGCGATGCGGTGCCGGCGTCCGCGACTCTGTACGCCAGCGAATACGATGAGAGCACGACGACAGAGCCCTTGCTGCTTAGGTGAGCCAGCCCGTGGCGTGCTTTCCAGTTGAATCTCGGGCTGTCTTGCTTTTAGAGCCACGGTACCCACGAGGCGGAAGCATGTGTATGGTGACACCGAAAGGCTACTGTGAGATACGAAAACAATGTCGGCATCAGCGAGTGAGGGGATGATGAAGAAAGACGCACGAGTTCAACCAAAGAAAAGGGAAGGAGAGTGGAGGGACTTGTCCCGTCTACGGCGTCGACCCTCAAGGTACACCACCTAGGACCAAGTCGGTCATTTCTGATGTACCGGTACACTACCTAAGGTGGGCAGGTAGGTAAGATAACCATCCATAAGGCAGGGGTACTTCGATAGGTGAAAAGTACACAAGAATACAGTGCTTTGGATGCACTCTTCCGCAGTCACTCTCAAGTCTCATCTTCAAAGGATTCGAAGCGGCGTCAGCACCACCTCACTTGCATAAGACGGAGCCCAAGGCTAGGGCCTCAGTATCCCCTGTTAGACGGTTAGGCCACTTCACTGTTGAAGCCCTACCGGCTCCTCCGTCACCATATCGGGAGTACCTTCTAGGCAGCAAAGCCAACCGGCCAATCTGCCAGAACACACAAACACTTGCTGCTCATGCCAAGAAACCCAAGGAGCCCTTGACTCGGTCAGAACAAGCCACGAAATTTGCTCTCAAATCGTATCAAGCTTCGCAATGGAATTCAGGTACCAACGCTTGCCTCGCTTTTGTGTCAGACGGCGGTTCTTTTGGGCCAAAGCAGAGGCCGTACTCACGACGCCCATGATTGGCCTAGTGCCTCATAATGCCCAAGCCATTTAAGTCAGGCATGGGAGAATAACTTCTCCCTGCGAGCCGTTTCGGTGCAACCCGAACTGACATGGCTGGCTGGGCTGACAATGGAAACATTGGGACATCCACGGGGAAAGCCCCCTTTCCTTTTGGGCATGGAAAGAAGTCGCAATGCCACCCTGAGATGACTCCGCGATCCGTCAACATGTGCAATGGAGACATTCTCACTCGTTCTGCTTGGTTCGGCGTGCTGTGCTGCGTCCATTCGTGCCAAGAGCACATTCTCGTACCGACCTAGCCTCATGCTACGTTGTAGTGCGGTCAGCGCTGGTGGTTGCTTCTGGCTTAGCAGTACGGCGGCTGAAGGGCGCGCTGTAGGGCCGTCCATGCGCTGCCAGACACCCGTGAATGGCCGGAAAGGCGCCGTGTAGGTGGCAGCCATCGTGGCGCATTGCCCACTTGCGCCAGAGCCTCCCCATGTACCACCACTTCATCATCGTGGACATCGACTAGTGACCTCGATGGTGGCTTGTCTCCCTGCATTGGGTCGGTTCTATGCTGCGTTATGTTGCACTCCGAGTCGCATGGCATCGAAAGTGTTAGTTGCAGGGCACCGGGCAGATTTATATTTTGCTTCTTTTTTCCCGAGTTGCAGTCCAGACCGATTTGGGGAAGGAGCGATTCCACTCGTCCATCTCGGTCAACCCCGCTAGGCGGTGTGGAGCGCGCTAACACCCTCGGACGGCAGAAAAAAAAAATTCCAGAGAAGGCGTTCGCCCAAACCGCCTGCATCTGCATCGCGAAACTGAAAGCTCCAAAAATAGCCATTTCAACACCTTTTGTCTTGTCCCTTTTTTCCACCACAACATGCCGGCACGCCAAGCGCTAGGCAAGCGGAAGGTACCGCAGGCGGAGGCTCCTATGCCCGTCGATGACGAATTCGGCAATGCAAACCTGGAGGGCGTCTTGTCTCAAAGCGAAGATGATTCCGACTACGAAGAAACCTCAGAGTCTGACGGCGACGACGCTGCCCTGAACGGCGAGTTGTCGGAGGACGAGGACGAGGATGAAGAGGAGGAAATCTTGAGCGACGATATTCCCTCTGACGCAGATGATCAGGAAATCGCCTCGAAACTCAAGTCAACGAACCTTGACAAGGACTCTGCCGCCGCTGCCGTTGGTGACGAGGACGACCAACCCAACTACAGGGTTGTCAAGGACGCCAATGGCAACGAGCGCTACGAGTACGACGAGATCGACGCCGACTACGACTCGGACGACACCGATGCTCAGGAGCCTGTCAACACCATTGGCAACATCCCTCTGTCGTTCTACGATTCTTACCCTCACATCGGATACGACATCAATGGCAAGAAGATCATGCGCCCCGCCACCGGTGAGGCATTGGACGCCCTTCTTGAGACCATTGAGATTCCCAAGGGCTGGACTGGCTTGACGGACCCCCAAACGGGCAAGCCGCTCAACCTCAGCCAGGACGAGCTCGAGCTTTTGCGCCGCGTCCAGATGAACGAGATTCCCGAGGAAGGCTACGACCCCTACCCCGTAAGCGTCCACCACTCCATCCTTGAATCTCAACAACGCTAACGAGTCTCAGGAAATGGTCCACTGGTTCACTGCACACGAGGAGAAGATGCCCCTCAGCGCGGCGCCCGAGCCGAAACGCCGTTTCGTCCCCTCCAAGCACGAGGCTAAGAGGATCGCGAAGCTCGTCAAGGCCATTAAAGAGGGACGCATCCTACCCTACAAGCCGCCCGAAGAGAGGGAGAAGGAGGAGGCCGAGAAGGAAGAGAACTACTACGACATCTGGGCTAACGAGGAAGAGCGCCCGCCGCACGTCATGAACATCCCGGCGCCCAAGCTCCCCCCTCCTGGCTACGACCTCAGTTACAACCCTCCCCCCGAGTACCTCCCGACAGAAGCTGAGAAGGAGGAGTGGGAGAAGGCGGACCCTGAGGACAGAGAGAAAGAGTACCTGCCGGCCAAGTTTGATTCACTGCGCAAGGTCCCCGCCTACGGCGAGTTCGTCAAGGAGCGCTTCGAGCGCTGCCTCGACCTCTACCTGGCTCCTCGCGTGCGTAAGAACAGGCTCAACATCGACCCCGCGTCGCTTCTTCCCAAGCTTCCCCGCCCCGAGGAGCTTAGACCCTTTCCAACGGCCTGCCAGACCATCTTCCGAGGCCACGAGGGGCGTGTGCGGTCTTCTGCCATCAGCCCTGACGGTGAGTGGCTTGCAAGCGGTGGCGACGACGGTACTGTGCGTCTGTGGCATCTCCGCACCGGTCGCCAGGAGTGGATGGCCAAGCTCAGCCTTGACGAGGCGGTGAACGTCGTCCGCTGGCGTCCGAACAAAGAGACCTTCATTCTGGCAGCCGCTGCTGGCGAGGACCTCTTCTTCGCTGTCCCCCCTCGTGGTGCCGACGGCATTGACAAGGCCAGCCGTGACATTCTCGACGCTGGTTTCGGTTACGCGACGCAGAACCCTCAGCCTACTGCCCCCGTCACCAAGGAGCACCCCGGCAAGTGGGCAAGACCCGGCTCGAAGCTGGAGGCCGCCGGTGTCTTGCTCAAGGTCACCGTCAGATCCGTCATCAAGGTCATCAGCTGGCACAGGCGCGGTGACTTCCTCAGCACTGTCTCTCCTAACGGCCAGCGCAGCGCCGTCGCGATCCACACGCTGTCGAAGCATCTGACCCAGATTCCCTTCCGCAAGCTGCCCGGCCTTGCCCAAACGGCCCAGTTCCACCCATCGCGACCCCTCTTTTTCGTTGCGACCCAACGCATGATCCGCTGCTACGACCTCCAGAGACAGGAGCTTGTCAAGGTCATCCAGCCCGGTGCCCGCTGGATCTCGTCCTTCGATGTCCACTCGGGCGGTGACAACATTGTCGTGGGATCCTACGACAGACGTCTGCTCTGGCACGACCTCGACCTCTCCAACCGGCCCTTCAAGACAATGCGCTTCCACTCGGAGGCCATTCGTGCCGTCAAGTATCACCGCAGCTTCCCTCTGTTCGCCGACGCCAGTGACGACGGCACTTTGCAGATCTTCCACGGAAAGGTCGTTAGCGACCTCATGGAGAACCCGACCATTGTACCCGTCAAGATGCTCAAGGGCCACAAGATCGTCAACAAGCTCGGTGTCTTGGACGTGGACTGGCACCCTACGGAGCCGTGGTGCGTGAGTGCCGGCGCTGACGGCACATGTATCCTCTGGACCTGATTTATGAATCTCTGGTGGGGGAGGGTACTTGTAAGGTTTGCATAAAAAGAGACAGCGAGGCGTTGGGAAGAACCAAAACGAACCAAAAGAAATTATGGAGAAAAACTAGACAATCCTTTTGCTTTTTCAACTTTGTTCATGTCGCATAATTTCACCCTGGATTTACCCGCAGGAAGGTGTCAATAATGGATCTCGAGTCTGTACCAATGCCCACGCTCCGTTCAACCGTGACATGCTGTCGATTGCTGTGTGATGTTGCAGCCATGTCCCTGGAAATCTAAACCTGAGGACGGGGTGGACTCGCCAGGGAACGGCTTTCGAGATGGTGAGAGGAGGTCCCCTTGGCGGCCGAAGACGATGCCGAAGAGACCGAGAAGAGCCGGAGAATCCGCCGCTCCAGCGCAAGACATTGGCTGCAAGTTTAATTAGGCGTTGGCTCGTGCGTCCCAAGGTCGAACTGAACACACGCCCGCCTTTGTTCGGCCCCTCTTACCCTCTCCCTAGAGCGGGCGGCGAGGATCCGATGGCATGGATGCTTGCCAAATTGGCAAAGTTCCGCCTGCCCCCCCCTTCGTCTCTGCTGCGTTCTTCAATCTGAAACCCGTTCTGCGTCAGGAAGGTATTACACGCGCGGGGCTACTACTGGTATCTTATTCCCAGCCTTTAATGCTGAACGCCCAATCTCTCTCGGTCCTCGACGCTGTCTTCCTGCCCCTCTTCTCCCATTCGCCTGGGAGAATCCGGATTCTCGAGCCGTCATCATGCACGGACAGCCGAGAGAGATCAGATGTCGCATTGTGGTGCGATGGCGTGGGTAAGCTATGGAACACCTGGTCCGGTTGTCTCCATCCGGGACACGGCATGACTGTATGGAGCTCTGGATGCTGTTGCGACCAGGGTCGTCTACCGGCTGGTGCGACGGATCGCCCTGTCACCCTCGAGAGGAGGTGGTGATGGCGTAGCAGCATTGGGATGTCGAGGTTTCCAGGCATCATCTCCCTCCCCCCTCCTTCAAGAATGACATAGTGCGCCGTCCTCTTGGGATTGATGATCCTGTCCCGGCTGGTTCTACTTGCCTTCTCGAACGGACACTCCGCCGACTCAACTCCGTCCATCTCAGTGCTTTCGACTCGACTTGTGGCCTACATTCTCATTTCCCTAACCTAATCCATCATTCCGCCTGGAAATAATCCTTTGGCTTCCAGGGCCGTGTTCCCACTTTTTTACTTTATTTTCCCACAGCGCCCAGGGTCTTGCTAAGTTCCAGAGTCTTGTGTATGCTTCAGGTGGCCTAGATAACTAATTACTGCCCCGTCGCGTGGGTGCATTTACAGCTGCCTCTCCTCGTTTTATCTTTGTTTTTATTTTTTGCGATATCTTCTTCGTTCCATCCGGCAGCTTGCTTTCGGCGTTGCACCGTCCATGCTCGCCATGGTTCGCTCTTCTCCCATTTCGTACACGGCTGCGCTGCTGTACCTGTTCGCGGCTTCCGGGTCGGCCCAGACCTTCACCATCGCCAACGGCCAGATCTTCACGCCGGGTCTGGTCATCTTGGATGCGCCTCAACCGGGAACCCCGCTGGGCGGAGGTCAGTAATCCGGCCCGAAAGATTCATGTGATGGGGGCCCTCGAGAGGCTCCCAAGTCAATAAACCATCTAACATTGGCGGACACAGACAATCTCCATGTCGCGCTGGACGTGTCAACTAACGGCAGGATGCCGCTGCCGCCATACGCCAAGGACAGTCCGACCAAGATCTTCAACGTGACCATGTTCCTGTCCAGCTACGTGACTGGGCGTAACTTCACCATCACCAACGGCACGGCGACGGCCAACGATGCCAGTCTCGGCGACATCATGTTCCAGGAACCTGGCAGCACAGTGAAGCACGTCAACTGGCTCTGGCCCGACTGTCTGGTGGGTAATGGGCAGCCCAGATCAGCCGACAGCGACCGCGGCGCTTATAACGTAAGGCACATGCTCCGGGGGGGGGGGGGGGGGGTGGGGGCAAAGGACGTGAGAAAAAAGGGGGTTCAAGACGCAGTCCGGACTAACAGCGCGGCCTCAGATCTCCATCCGCCAAAACTTCCGCCTCAACGGCCAAGACCATTACACCATCTTCGACGTGCCCATCTCCGTGACCAACAGTATCGAGGAGAAGGACGGACGGCCCTCGTGCGATGCGCTCAACAACGCGCTTCTGACGGAGGAGGAGCTCAACGCAACCGCCGCCAACGCCGTCGGCGTGCTCTTCGCGCCGGGCGACCCGACCAAGATCCAGGTCGGATCTGACCAGGGCAACGACAATGGCAGCGGCGACGCGCTCGGTAAGCCCAAGCCGGAGGCGACGCCGGGCGATGGACTCGGTGCCGGAAGTAGCTTGAGCTGGAGGAGCGGCGCACACTGGTTGTGCCTGGCGAGCATTGGCGCTGCGCTGATGCTCTGAGAAAGAAGAAAGGCGAGCTTGGTTGTGATTGGAGACTTTGTGGCGTGAGTTACGAATGCTGTTTACTTTTGATGATACCCATACGCAGGAGACCTGTATTAGTTCATATTTCTTAATCCAGTCTGCCACGTGCATATGGATTCGTGGCTTTTCCTTGGCAGGCATTCCCGAGACTGTCACATTACAACGCGGCGACTGAAAATAAAATAAAATAAGAAAACTGAAAACGCGCGGACATTCCCAACGTCCCGATCATCTTTGTCCGTACCTCTGAACATTAGCCGGAACCTAAGATAGCTAAGGTTATGCCGTAGAGGGAAAGACACTCGTGGAGGGGGGAGGGGGAGCACGGTTTTTGTCACAACATTCATTGACTTCTAGTCTACTCCGTATTACCAGGTATTACCTATCACCTACGCAGCATTCATCCGTTCAGAGGGAGCGGGTCCATTACTCAGGAGGAAACTCATTCCCCGTTTGGGCAACTCCATTTGGGACAACCCTTGGCTCGGTGGCCACCCGCGGGCTCAGTCCCTGCGATCCCGTGGCCCCGTTCACCCCGTTACCCAACGAACTGCTTCCTGAAATGGGTAATATGTGACGGCCGCGGCCGTCGCACACTTCGTACCATGGCACCATGGTTCACATTTCACATGCGAGTACCGTAGCCATGCGCTGACAGGCACACACACACACACACACACACACACACACACACACACACACACATACGTACACACCCACACTTATGCGCTCTAGCTCCATCGTCTTTCCTATCAGGGCCACCGCATCCCAACTTATCGGACTTGAAAATGCCTAGCAAAGGGTACCCCAGAATTCCCCGCACTTTGGCCGCGCTAACCATACCTCGGCTCCATGCGATGTATTCCCTATAGCTGTGGAAAGCTAGCAGCTCGTCAAGCGAGCCGCGACAAGCATCCCGACGGGAGCACCAGTCTCGCCAAGGGGCGGGTCGCTGGACATTGGTCCTGACGGTTACATTGTGTGTACGACGACGAACCCTGGTCCTCCCTCCCTTTTTATGAACATGGCGCCCTCAACCCCAGGGCCACGAGTTAAGTATGGGGTCGCATGCCGCCAGAAACATGGTGGTTTGATGTCGACATCGCCGCCCCTTCCAAAACTCCAAACCGCTTGGAAGGCACTTTCACAACCTGTAGCCCGGCCTCGCTGCTGATCTCAAACTTCTACATCCCAGCAGAAGCTGAAGAGTCTCGATTCAAAAGTATCGGCGCTTCGGATTTGCCAGCGCTTCTTGCCAATAACCCGCCCGCTGTCTTAGCTCTCTGGGCCGCGCGAGCCATTGTTGCCACATTCCAGGCTGATCTCACGATTTCTTTGGGACATCGTCACCAATAAAAAATAAAAAAACCAACCGCGCCCATCACCAACCGCCAAATTGCCCAAGATGCCGATGCACCAGGGCTTCCTCCCGCGCGAGGGTCTCACCGCCGATCCCATCTTTCGCCTCATCGCCCGCACCGCCCTGAACCCGGCTTTGATGTTGCCGCTCCTGCTCCTCGCCCGCTACACCAAGAAGGGCGGCGACCTCGCCATCCTGCACCCCACAGCCTTTTCCCGCGTCAAGCTCCTTGCCTACTGCGCCCTCACGCGATGGGCAAGCAGCTGGCTCTCGCGGCGCGTGCTGAACGGCTGGTCCTCCGACCAGTATGACTGGCGCAGGGAGATCGTCCTTGTGACGGGCGGTGCTGGCGGAATTGGCGGACACATTGTGCAGTTTCTGGCTGAGCGTGGTATTACTGTCGTAGTGTTGGATATCCAAAACATGACCTTCGCAGCCGGTAAGTTTCCCGCCGCCCTTTCCCGACCTTCTTTGCGGGGTCGCTGTGGTAAGATCCGTGACTGAACCTCGTGTGACAGGCTCCAATGTACACTACTTCAAGTGCGACATCACCTCAACCGAGAAGCTCGCTGTCGTGGCCAACGAGATCCGTGCCAAGGTCGGCCACCCGACGGTGCTCATCAACAACGCCGGCGTGGCGCGCGGCAAGACGGTGCTTGACTCGACGGAGCACGACGTCCGCTTCACCTTCGATGTCAACACGCTCTCGCACTACTGGACGACCAAGGAGTTCCTCCCGAACATGGTGAAGAACAACCACGGCATGATTGTGACGGTTGCGTCATTTGCGAGCTACCTATGCGTTCCCAACATGGTAAGGTGCACCAGTGAGAAAATCGGTAGTCTTGGCCAACGGCTAACACAGTAAAGGTCGACTACGGCTCCTCCAAGGCCGCCTCCATGGCGTTCCACGACGGGCTCTCGGCCGAGTTGAAAACACGCTACAACGCGCCGCGGGTGCGCACCGTGCTCGTCAACCAGGGCTACACCAAGACACCGCTCTTTAAGGGGTACCGCCAGGGTTTCGAGTTCATCCTCCCGGGGCTCGAGCCCGAGACTGTCGCAGAGGCGATCGTGAAGCAGGTCCTCAGCGGCGAGAGCGGCAACGTCCTTCTCCCGGCGTACGGCAACGCGATGACGGCGCTGAGGGCGTTCCCGTATTGGTACCAGAGCATGATGGGGACTCGGTCGGAGAGGCTGATGGCAAACTTCTCAGGGAGACAGGTCATCAAGGACGTGAAGGTGTTTTACGACGAGAAGGTGAACGGGTCCGAGGGCGAGCAGGGGAGGCCCGAGGAGAGCACCATACTCGTAGAGCAGGAGCCCATCCCGGCGGAATCGGGCAGCCTTGAGTAAGGGAGAATAAGTCGGAAAGAGCTTCGTCACTTTGTAAGACTGGACGGGTGTCGTTACGCTCGTATATCAGGCCTGGTTGGGTTCGGTGACTCTAATTGGCATAGCGTGCGCCTCCCTGGCTGCGGCTCTTTGGTCGTTGCAAGGGTCGGGCGGCTTTGCAGGATACCTAAGCAAACATGAAGACTGATCGCATCAATCCAGCCTGCATGCGGCTGACGAGAGTCCCTGGTCCTGCGGAGCCGTACCGAGACCACAAACAGCACCAGGGTTGTCCATGCCGCCCGGCTCAGCCGTTGCTCGAACCTATCGCGTATCTTTTCCAAAACATACACACACGCGCGCACGCACACACTTATGCTATGCACGATTCCGTTCCCGGTCATCGCCTACCTACTCCGCCGCCGAATTTGCTGATCGAACGGCAGAATTGCTGGCGGCGGGAACCTATTTTCTCTCGCTAGCTTTGAGCTAGGCACGCACGCGGGTTCCGAAACACAACTCCGGTGGTGAGAGACGTCAATTTCTCGGACTGCAGTGACCAGCGGGATAGTTTGCAAATCTATCAAAAATGCCCCGTAGCGGTGAACATGAACTGTTGTCGTTATCGAATATGTTCTCATTGTTCAACTTTAGTTGCGGAGTTGTATGGCATGCTTCGGAGAGTTGTCTCTGAGAAACCGGCGGTAGCACACTACTTCCCCCCTCACTCATCAACGAGGGACGACCTAAAAGAGGTAAAGCCCTAGAATAATGACTTCCAAGAGCAAAACCGAGTGGTGCGGCAAGTGGTAGCGGGCGAGGGGGAGGGATCCAGCGGAGATGTCTCTTGTCATGACCCCTTTGTTGTTCTGCTTGTCAAACCACTGATAGCGAGGCGGATCTCGAGGTAAGTCCTCGGTTGTGCTTACTGGTCTCATCCTCCCACAAGAGTATAATCAACAAAAAACACATGCTTGAATTCACTGAATAGCGTTTCCCTCTGATCCCTGCTTCTTCCTTGATCATAGCCGTCGAGGACCGATGTAAGCTAGCAACGAGTCATTTGTACGCGGGTTCCGGCCTCTGTCTCACAGCCAAGCAGACCTCGTTACCCATTGGGTCCCTTTTCAGTCCATCGTCATTTCACAGCCTTCCTCCAACTAGGCGCTCTGCACGACAGGGGGCAACTGTACAGCCTGGGGACCAACCCGACCAGCAACTCATATGGCCCAATAAGCATGTCTATTCTTTCCCCTTACCTCTCTCCTCCCACCAACGACGAAAGTGTCAATTTCCTCCCTTTCCAACTAGTGTAATCCGCTCTTGGCAATGGTGCCACTTCCAACGCAAAGGGGGGTTGATAGAAGTCAAAGATAAACCAGCTCAACGCGCTCTATTTCTCTTTGGATCCGCCGAAACTCTAGACGGGATTGATCCCGATGACCAAACACTCGATCGTGCGGTGGATGCCTTGGTATGGCGAATTTCATGTCGCATCGTACCAGAGCGGGAGCAATCGCTGAAGGCGCGGTCGCTGGCATAACAATTATTTAAATCATTTTCAGCACTGTCCATGTGACATGGAATAAGGTTCGAAATATTAGCTTTACCCCAAGACGTACCTGATTGCGGCTGGAGGGTGGTACGTCAGATCCTCCGCGCATTGACCACGCGTCCGATAACGATAAGGCTGACATTTCTTCTCCTGAACTGGACACGGGACAGACAATCCTCATCTCCAAGCCGGCCTCGAATCCTCCTGATACATTTCCGCTTGGAGAAAAACCTGGTACCCAATGCGTTTGAAACTTTGACTTCTCGTCGCTCGTTTTGTGTCTGCAGTTTTGGCTCTCTGGAGTCCGCCTTTCCCTTCCCTTGCTCGATGCCTCTTTCCCCTTTCACCAACGATCATGGACGGTGATCCCAAGGTCGAGTCGCAGCTCGACTCGTTCAGCTTAACCTTCCCTCTCCCCTATCGCATAGGATTCATCATTGTTCTTGGTAGGTTGCGAAGGAATTGAAGTTCAGGATCCGCCGCTAACCGCACAATAGCCGTCTGGGGCTGGGGTGTCAACCTGCACTACCTACACAAAGTCAAGATCGATGTACCCTCCCTGATCCGGTATCCCTCTCGGTCGTCCCCGACACAGCCGGCGCATCACCTCTCGACGTATCGCCTCGCGACCGTCCTCTCGACTGTGTTTATCCTCTCGATATCGACGTTCTGGATCTTTACCCGACGGATACCCTCGCTCGTCATCGAATATGACTGGCTGCCAATGACTTACCTCGTCGCCCTTGCGGCCCTGTTCTTAGTTCCCGTCCGCAATTTCTCGCAAGGCGGGCGCTCGCGGTTCCTTGCTACGCTCCGCCGCGTCAGTATCGGGGGGCTGGCTGAGGCTAAGGATGGAAAGTTTGGAGACATTCTGCTTGCCGATGTGTTGACGAGCTACTCCAAGATACTGGGGGACTTGTACGTTGTGCTATGCATGTTCTTCACGCCGGCGGGCTCTTCGACTGCTCGGCCTGACCGCAACTGCGGTGGCACAGTCGTGGTGCCGCTGATCATGGCTGTGCCCTTCGCGATCCGATTCCGGCAATGCATCATCGAGTACCTGCGTGTCCGACGAGCGCCTTACAAGGAGTCGGCGGGCTGGGGCGGTCAGCATCTCGCCAACGCCACCAAGTACGCCACCGCCTTCCCGGTCATTATCCTCAGCGCACTCCAACGAAGCGTCCCGGCCGACCAGCCGGCGCCCGGTCTGAACAGGGCGTGGCTGACGGCTGTGCTGGTCAACTCCCTCTACTCCTGGTACTGGGACGTCGCCAAGGATTGGGATCTGACTCTGTTCTCGTCGGCGCGCGAGCGCAATAACCCGGAGCATCCGTTCGGTCTGCGCCGGCGGCTCGTGTTCCAGCAGCCGATCATCTATTATGGGGTCATTGCGATGGACCTGATGCTGCGCTGCACATGGACAGTGAAGCTAAGCGCGAACTTGGACAAGTTCACTGACTTTGAGAGCTGCATTTTCTTGCTGCAATCGCTCGAGGTGTTCAGACGATGGGTCTGGATCTTCTTCCGAGTCGAGACGGAGTGGATTAGGAACAACACGACAGGACTGGCGGTTGACGACATCTTGCTGGGGGACTACCAGGGCAAGTACGATTCTGACGAAGACTAAGAGCCGAGCACGATTCCCCCAGGGAGATGGGGGACTTGTAATTTACGTGTGTGATTATGGATGTTCGGAGTTAATGGTCTAGACGTGGCCCAGAGGCCGGCGGACTCGTCAAGGTTCCAAGAGATTTTGGCTCATGTAAGAATTTGGATTTGTTTTATTTTATATCAAGCATCTCTGAACTCAGAACGTCTAATCCACCAGTTGGTCACTAACCGCGTTCGCCGACCCATTGGGTGCCTAGGTCGTCATGTTTGTGAGCATAGCCCCATGACGACTGACTGGTCTGCGACGCGACGAAGATGGAGGCTCGCCTGTGGCTAAGTGAGTGGACAGCGGAATACCACCCGGGGGCGATACCCCTGTCGGCGATCTGCCTAGACTGCTAGCGGTGCAGGACAGGGACAGGGTACAGAAGCCAAGCTAAGGATTATCGTGCATCGTTCCCCAACGACGTCTCTTCTCTTCCCCGAGACGACACCTCAAAGCCGCGGTTCTCTTCTCCTTCATTCGCCATTCGGCACTTGTAATCTCGCGGCCACCCCATTTTCTCAAGAATTCATCTTTTGTACGTTCCAAAGACTGGGGAAGCCCCGCCCCTGGTTTTGTTTTCTACATCAGAATCCGGAGCAGAGGCACACACACGTCTTGGGAAAATACGCATTTATTCCTGGATAGAACGGCGGCATCTCCATGCCCGTTGATGCTGTTGCCGAATGGCCCGTCAACGGGAAAGATGAAGGGCAACTGGAGCATCACCATTCGATCTGATGCGCGTTCTCGAGCGGAGCGGCCGCGTGGTGGGTGTATTTGAAATTTGATCAAAGAGGGGGGGAAACGCAGCAGATGACCGGGCAAGAAGAGGTACTGTAACTGCTGTCGTGTAACACACCACGACGGACGCCGCTGCAGCTCAGCAGCAAACACCGGATTCTTTGCAGCACTCCGCGCGTCCCCCCGTGCGACACCGACAACGGAAGTCACTGTTGCCAAGTCGGATTTGCCTGGTGACTGTATTGTCAGCTTTCCGGGTAGTCTGTCCAAAGCCACCACCACCCGCTTTACCAGGTATGCGCTGACAACGGACTGGCGGGTCGGAAAAGTCGGACGTATATCCAGTACTCGGATGCCTGCCTCGCAATTCCTTTCACCGAGCCGAGTCAGCGAGGTCCGCAACTCGCAGCTCAGCCCATCTCCTCGGGGCGTGCCCTTGTTGATCCGGTGTAGGTTCGCCTCCTATAAGGAGGGGCCTGGCATAGGCGAAAGGCCGGACTGAGCAATGACGGCCGGGCCGCCGAACGGCCGGGCTAGCCTGCGCCTGCGTTTGTCTCCGGCCAATAGACGCTCACGGCCACCCCATCCGCCTCTGTAGTGGGTGCGCCTGGCTTGCCACCATCACGGGAAACCCGCCAGAGGAAAGCTCGACTGTGAGTTACATCATCCCTTAATCATACTTCACTGTTAGAGCGTCCATCTACGGGCCTTCGAAGGGAATCGTAGCGTACAGCTAGGAACGACCGACGAGTGGCATGGCCAGAATAACAGAGTGCCAAGACTCCATACAAGCGCACAACCTCCCTCCCACCCGGCTGTCAAGAATCAATTCGCATGCCGCCACCAATGGGTGTGTCAAAGCATGGAAAACGAACGGCGGACATCATCAGTGTCCGTTTGCGGCTTGGGTGGCGTGCCGTACACTTGCTGCTGAATTTTAGCCATCATGTCAGACTATGTGTCGCTCCTGGGCTAGGATGCATTGGAAGCTCAGCCCTCCCAATTACAGCTCGGCTCTTTTCTTCTTCTTCTTCTTTTCGAACAATTCGGTGGAAGCTCAGAGGACTCAATTTTCCACCTAAAAGACGACCGTCAGTTACGTATACGCAGGCAGGACATCACAAATCAACACCTCCCTCCCAGTGTCTTGGACTTTCGGCGGCCGCTCCCCAGGAGCTGGGCTTATTGTCGATGAGAGTGGCTAATCCGAACAAAGGCAACCGTGGTTGATTATGGTTAAACAAAGACGCCTCCCTAGGTACAACTAGCTGCACCCTTCGGCGGGGTCGGCAACATCTTTTCGCTGTTCGGCAACATCTTTCCTTCCGCTGTCCGACACTCTTCGCACTGGGCGCGTGCCAATCAGCTTGGATCTGTCACGCTAGCGAGATGGGAAATATCCAAACGGTATCCTCGTATGATTTCACAGAAGTCCTAATACAGTTCTCGCCTGATCTTGGCAAAGGAAACGGCAAAGTCAAACTCGTCGCCAAACGCTAACATGGGGGAAGAGGGCGTTGCGACGGGCGTCGGACATCAGCTTTTTGTTAATGATGCAAACTTGCCTTTGACCCTGAATCCGCGGCGGCTCCCATACCGAAGATCTCCTCCAATTCAACAGCTTGTGGATGCTGTACTTGTCAATCCTCCGAGAATCAGCAGAGCCGGTATTCCCTAAGTATCTACTAACGGCAAAGGTCCAGACAGTAATGTTCATTCCTCTCCATCGAATAATATGTCTGCCCGCGTTCACTGATGGCTCATGTCCCTCTCGGTCGCGTGACGATGACGGGATGTGTAGTCCGTCAAGGTGGGATACCAGGGCCGTTGTAGAGAGCAACAGTCGCAGCTTTGGCGCTACAATCCAAGCTTTGGGGAGATGAGCTGCATGAGAACCTGGGCTTGCAGCTATCGTCCGCATACACCGTGAAGAAAACATGACCAATCCCAGTAAGCCTTTGTATGAGTGTGGGTTACTAGGTGGCTTCATTGGGTATTATATTCGTGGCACAGTCAGAGTCGACGAACGTTACGCACGTCAGGATGTTGGACACGCGTGTCCTGGAGCCCGACATTTTTGTTCTGCAGCAACATAGATGGCAAGACACGGCCTCTCTTTCGCTCTCTCTCTCTCTCTCTCTCTCTCAGCCGCTAACCCCATGCAAAACGGCCTCCAATCTCCACCAACAGTCCCTGACGGGAAGGGCACTCATTTTGCGAATAAAACGAGCTTATGGAGCGGACCGAAAAGGCGGAACTCACCCGTCGAAGCACTATCGACACCTCTTGGCGTGTACTTTTCTTGCCCTCCCCCGACTTGTCTTTGTTTAAAGAGCTACTGGCTCTGAGCGAGCCATTCCTAATCCAACAGTCAGCAACAACAAAGAGTATTCGACCTTGATTCTAAAAAAACCAGTCCCCAGGCCGCATTCGACAAGATCTCCTTAGCAAGCGGCTTTTTCAGTGAACCGGTAGCTACCAGTGGCATGGGTCATATTCCGCCAGACTCCCGTATTGCCTCCTAACGATACCTGCTCTTCTCTCTCACCCTCTCCTCTCCCCCGGACCAAGCCCGCAGACCAGTAACCATTATCTCTAAATGTCGACAGATAGCATGGAGCCCCGGATCATACCCTATCAGTTGCCGCCTGGTATGGAGATTGCCATCCCGCCAGGGGGCGAGCTGCCTCCTCAACAACCGATGGGCACATATGGGAAGAAGCCGCTTCCACCGCTGCCTCCTTTACAACCAGGCCTACGCCGTCAGCTTTCGGCCTTCTCATTCGTCTCGGCCATGTCGGGTGCATCAAAAACGACGACAAGAGATTCATCGAGATCACGAAGCCGCGAGGGGGCAACGCCGTCGCCCTCGCCGTCACCCCTGGAAAACGACGAAATTAAGCAACTGGAGGACGACATCAACGAAATCCTCGCTCAGCACACACCGACGCCCACCCCACGGAGACTGTCGGAAAACCGAAGCTGCTCGCCCTACAACCGTCGGCCAGAGTCCAAGGTTAGGAGCTTCGCCGCTCGGCGCCTGTCAACTCCTATAACGAGTTACTGCACCCTTCACCAGTCATCCGTCAAGATAAAACAGATAACTGGGCTCGACCTCGAGTACAACGACTTCAAGAAAGCCCCACCCCGGCCGCCGCGATCACCCATAGCCCCAGACATGGCGATCCCCGCGACCCCCGACAACTCCGGCAGCGTCCACAGCGCAGAGAAGCCGACTTCGGCATCGGAACCGGCTCGGACGCTGAACATGATTGATGATGACGACAACGACGATGACGAGTCGGATGCGGAGAGTGTCGAATGGGACTTCAGCCCCACCGCACGGAGGCGCATCCCGTCGTGGATACCGGCGTCGCCGGTGCCACCCCGGGTCGAGATTTCTGACTTTGACCAAGCAAGCCCACGCCGTCGCGACTCGGAAATCGGACCACTGAGATCACCGGGCATGCACCATTTCGAAACGCTCCCTGCCCGACGGAATAACCACATGGAGGTTAGCTACGTGGGGGCCAAGGACCTGTACCATGCAACGGCGACATCGATCGCAAACTCGACCCAGAAGAGGTTGGCAATAGCACAAGCTAGCGTCGATGCAACACAAGATTCGGGCCTGTCGCCCAAGACCAAGATGAGCTTCGCGGCCAAGGTGCTCCAGTCCGGCAGGAAGCGGCCGCCCATGGGCATCAACACCATGCCGCAGTCGCCGTTGTCCCTGGTCGCCTCGACAAGCTCCAGCACGAGCAAGCAGTCGCCGGAATCGGGACGCCCGGACATGCACGCTCACTCGATGGACGACGACCGTATGCGGGTCAAGTACTCGGACACGCTGTTTCGCGTCTTCGGGCGGAGCGGCGAGCACCGGAGAGCGGCCTCGGCGGACGACACGGCGCCCGTCGACGCGTCGCCTCTGCCGACTCTTTCGGAAGCCGGCAGCGTGGCATCTACCCTGGCGGTTCCGGACTCGCCCCCGAGCAAGATAGGCAGCCGGCTATCGGTGCAGGTTATAGCGGCGCAGTTCAAGAAGACGGCTAGCTCAATGGTGCTATCAAAGGACGAGCGGCGGAGGGAGACTCTCAGACAGAGCATCCGGGTGATACCGGAGGGGAGCTCGCCTTAGCACGCAGAAGCGTAGCGCATAGACGGCGTCGGCGTAGCGTTTGGAACGGAAAGGGGCCTGCGGGTGTAGGTGATGCACATTGCTTGGCACTTCTGTGTGGGATGCATCCTCCTCGCCCGATGCTTGGGATGGAGCGTATATGGAAGGGTAACACATACTTGAAGGAGGTGGTATCACCTCTGCGTTTGTGCAGTTTAGCGTTGTTTGTGGTATCATGAGAGGGAGGGGCGTTTGAGAGGGATTATGGGAAGCGTCGTCTTTTTGGTTCGGTATCGGAAGGAGGAAGCCTGCGTGCTGCGGATCCTGACGACCCAGAACAAGAACGAATAAGGTAATGACGGATATAGGCTAGAGAAGAAAGGTTTATTTGAACACCTTACCACTGAGTACATTGACTACCTAGGTACACGAATAATTAGAGTAAAAAAGAAGAGACATCTGTTGATACAAACTTGAGAGTCCGAAAGCGCCCGAAAGTCGTGTGACGTGAACAGCCCCTTCCGAGCATCGATAAGGTAACGAATAAGTAATAGCGGGTGAGGGCCTGTCACACCCTCCTATGTGCAGCCCGGAAAAGGCCAATCAAAAGGCCTTGCGGTGACTAACCCGCACCCGCGAGAGAGCCCCGTGTCCGCCGGGCCGCCGCCTACCGAGCATCAGTCATCTCTCATCTGACGAGACGGGCGATGAGAAAAGGGACCTCTTGATTTGGCTTGACCAGCAACGAATGAGGCAGTTACTGGCGGTCCAATGACTATGTATAACATGTACGTATTTGGTATGTTCCAACCGATCCATCATAATTGAATCACTTCGGACGTTTGTTCGCTGGCTGCAGCCTGTGACGATCGGTCACTTGCGCGGGCTGGCAGCCACTACACTACACTACACTACACTACACCACAGTATGCCTTAGGCGGTTCAAGATATCTAGACCGACCCCACCCCCGCAATTCGGCTCGGCCTTTTCCCTCACTTTCCCCAAGACATGTTCGCAGCAGCATCGGAACTGTCTGCCTGATTGTCTGTCCTCTCTCTCCAACCACACGCACACACACACAACTGCAACTCCCGAATCTGCAGCGCTATCCATCCGTCCCTCTTCCCTGCCATCACATCTCAGCCAACCACGTCCCGCGTCCGTGACCTTCTAGGCAAGAACACGCGCGCGCACGACCGCCCCGACCTGCCTGCTGCTGGTCGCTGGACGCCGAACCTCGCTTGCTCGTGTTGTGTTCAATAGCTTGCAGAGTCTGGGCCCTGGACCCGGGACTCCAGCTAACCCTACACACCACCCCTCTTTTGCTCCCGTCTCTTCTGTCTTCTTCCCTTTCCCATATCCTTTTTCCGTTGGTTGGCTCTACTCTGGGCTCCCGCCATCCGCCTCCCCTCCCCTCCCCTTCCCCCCATAGGACCGAGAATGAGCCAAGCGGCCGCGACGGACCCCTCGCCGGCCCCAACCTCCCCTCCGTCCTTCTCCGAAGACGCAGCAGCAGCAACGACAGGCACCACGACCACCGCGACGGCGTCTCCAGCCCTGCAGCAGCAACACCAAGATCATCAGCTAGACGAGGCTACGCCACTAACGGCCCAGGACGTCCACGAGATCACCACCCACCTCGCCGCAGCCGCCAAGCACCCGTCCGCCGCTACCTCTGTAGTGTCTCCCTCGCCCGCAGCCGGGGTAACCGCCGCCACCACTCCTGCAACTCCTTATTCTGCTAGCAGCAAGAGGGGCGACGTCGACGACAGCACCGCCAATCCGAATCCCGAAGGTGTCCTGATCCTCGACGACGACGAAGAGGTTACGAGCTACTGGGATGCTGAAGCTATGGCTCCGCTAAACCCAGTTTCTGCGGTTAGTGGTTACCCTCGCCCCTCTTCCCGAATCTTGGTAGCAGTTAGTAGTTGGGCTATATGCTAGATGCACCCTCCACGGAACGGTGCAACTCTATCACCATTTCCTTCCCGTTTTCTAGTCTATCACTACTTGTGTACCATGACTCCCCGAATCTTGCTCTATGCTCACGCCTCCCCGCCTCCCCCACCATTTGCTATGTATACCCTCATATTGCTGCATATGAAGCGCCGTGTTACCCTATGAACTCGAGATTCGGTGCCTGTTTTCTTTCTTTTCCCTCCCTCCTCCTTTCCTCATTCTCGCCGTTTCCTTCTTGAATTTGTAATACATGTCACTAGCGCCGTCATGTATCTTTGCGCGAATAGGATGCTGATGCGCTCAAAGGCGGCCATCTCGCGACTGCGTCGATATGTTCCGCCCGCCTTCCCGCTCTGGGACCGTTTGCCAGTAAGCCGCCGCGCGGCGGTCTTGATACTTTTGTACGCGGACCGCAGGGGCGATTTGCGAGTCGTCATCACAATGCGCGCCGCGAGCCTGCGGAGCTTCTCCGGGCACGCGGCATTCCCTGGTGGAAAGGCGGATACAATACAAGAGACACCGTGTAAGCTTGCTGCCAGCCCGCCGTCCTGTCCGCATTCACCCGTGCGGAAGAGAGAAGTCCCCGAGACAGGGAGAAGACGGAAAGGCTAATGTGGAAACTGCGGGACAATAGACGAAATAGCGAGACGTGAAGCGTGGGAAGAAATAGGTCTGCCCATGGACGACGCCCGCATCCCCAAGCCCTTCAAGATCGAACCCCTCTGCTACCTCCCCTACAACCTCGCCCGGACGGAGCTCGTCGTCCGCCCCTGCGTGGCCTTCCTCCACGCCGACGAGGAGCCCGACGAGAACCCCAGCCCGCTCGTCGAGGAGCGCATGATCCCGCGCCTGGACGCCAAGGAGGTCGCCGCCGTCTTCTCGGCGCCGTTCCAGAACTTCCTGCGGGCCAGGGACGCGGAGCCGCACGGCAACAGGGCGCTGCCGCCGGGCCACTGGTACGACGGCAGCTGGATCCAGTGGAAGGACCACCCGTGGCGCGTGCACAACTTTTACGTGCCCGTCGACGACCAGCGCGTCACGACGCCGGGGAACGCGATGGAGGCGGACCACCCGCAGAGCAACCTCGCGGAGAAGCTCGAGGAGGACAAGGTGGACAGGTTCAAGGTGTGGGGGCTGACGGCGCACATGCTCGTGGACGCGGCGCGGATCGCGTACGGCAAGGAGCCCGAGTTTGAATGCAACTCGCACTTTGGGGACGAGGAGATCATCCTGCAGGCCGAGAGGGAGGGGAGCCTGGTCGACAAGAAGAGGAAGCGAGACGAGGCGACGGCGACCGGCACTACGGAGGAGAAGGCGGAACCTGCGAAGATGTAGGTCCACCGTTGAGAGGCCATCACCTACGGGGGCATGGAATATAAGACTGGGCAAGCGACTAGGCAAGCGGAAGAACAGGGAGCCCGCTGTGGTCCCTCCCCTCATTGTAGAAAAGATACTATAGAGGCTGCAGCTAGAACTGCTGCAGCGGCCATGATAAGTGAGTCTTGCTTTCAAAATGTATATAGTAGTCCGAGTGTGCCAGCATCTCTCTGCTTCCCCGCCCCATCCTATATCACCCTCCGCTCGACTCGCACCGCCTGTCTTCGGGCAGGAGCTGCGGGAGCTTGATGCTATTGAAAGAAGTAACGCCCCTGAAAAGATACGCCGCCGGTGGTGTTTGGAAAACGATAAAAAAGCAGTGGATTCAGAGGCATGTCTATTGGTGAGATTCTTGGTGGCTGGGCTTCCCCAGCCCGCAGAGCCATCGGTGGGACGGCTCAATGACAGGCGTTGTCTTTTGTCGACGAGGTCGTGCTTCCGAACAAGGCGTAGCCCACAAACGCGCCGACCGCAACGGCGACCATGACCCAGCCGTTGTATGTCATGAAGACGAGCCTGAATATGTCAGCCACTAACTCTCTCTTCCCCTCCCCTCCCGCTCTCGTATCTGCGGGCCATGGTCTGTCGTGATTCTTTCGCGCGCAACCGCATGATGCTGCTGCTGCTGCTGCTGCTGCTGCTGCTCCCCCCCTTCGAGGTACGCACAAAGACAAAAGACAAGCCAGCCATTGGGGAGAGGCCAGAAGGTTGGATTTTTCACTTACATGAGCATGAAGGCGTAGAAGTTTTGTGCGGCGTAGAGGGCAGCCTTGAGGAGGTGAGCGCTCTTGCTGGCCTCGGCCTGTTCGCGTCCTGTCCATAGGAAGGGGGTTGTCTCAGTAACGGTTTCAGCGACGCCTCGAGAGACACAGGACTCTTAGCTCATCGTGCGCTATCATATTTTGGGGGAGATTTCAGGGTCTGTATGCGCCCCCCAAGGTCCACTCTACGACGGTCGTTGAAAGAGAGGCGCTAGGTAGGGGGGCGCAAGTTCAAAGCATGATAGTGTGGCGCGAAAAGGGACGGGCACGGAAGCAAGGAGAGAAGGGGGGTTCTTGGATGTATGGGTATGTTGTATGACGTGTACGTGTTTGCGGTCGCGCAACAAAGGAGAGGACTTACTGGGGAGGGATTCGATGCGCTTGTTCACGGAGTTCTCGTAGCGGCGGGAGGCGGCGCGGAGAGCCTCGTAGCCGGCGGCGAGGGCAACGACAAGGAGGAGGGAAATGACGAGGCCGGACGTAGAGCGGACGTGCCACTGACGGAAGACGATGCAAAGGTTCTTGGTATCCCAGGTGAAGAGCATCTGGAGAGAGGGATCGGGGTTAGCCGGTGTTCTCGATGTTCGGGGAAGCGGGCAGCGAGGGAGACGGAACGGGATGGGTAGCCCCCGGGGAGAGGGAAGCTCCCGAAGCTCTGTGAGGGTCTGACGGAGAGGAAGAGAGACACGCGTATGTGCGCGGGTTGAGCTTACGTTCATGCTGCACCGGTCGCCCATGCCGCCGCCCATGCCGTTTCCGCCCATGTTGCCGTGATCCATGGCGGAGTGGTCCATGTGGGAGTGATCCATGTGGGAGTGGTCCATCGTGTCGGTGCTGGTTTTGCAAGCGGTAAGATTTTGTTGTCGGGTTGTTCGGTGGTCGGATTCGAGCGTGAGTTGGTGGACGAGGACGATGATGTTGTTTGTTGAAAAAAAGGGGAAATATGCGACAAGACCAGAGGAGCTTCGGCCGGGGGGGAGGGGGGGTGAAGTATGAGATGATGTACGGAGGACGGGAACGTGATAGGTAGCTTCGATAACGCAAGATAGGGTCACAGTGTCGCAGTTTCGCGGGGGTGGGAAGGGGGTTCGGACCCGGTGGGGCGGGAGCTAGGGAGATGGACAAAAGAAGAGTGGGTAGAGAAAAAGAAAGGTCTGAAAAGGTTCGAGCCCGCAGGTAGCTCTTTTGAAAGAATGACAATCTTCTTCGTACAGGCAAACGTGTATCGGCAAACGTGGATCGGAAATCGCTGCCGAAACTAAAATAGGGCGAAGGGTGGCGGCCCGTGGCTTGAGGAAACTCGCTCAAATGTGCGCACGTCAAGCGGCGAGATGGGATGTTCCCTCCTCGTCGCCTCTCTTTGCCTATGCTCTTTCCCACCGGCTTGAGTCGGTGTGAGGGAAGAAGCGGTCGGTAGCAGTCATTGTTACGAGGAGCCCGCTGTCTGGCGGGCTGGGGCTTTCGACACGTCGTAATAGTTGGCCATGCGGAAAGGAAGGATTTACACGTAGGTACCTAGTTTAGGGCGAACCGCTGTAAGCCTGCAACCCGCTGCCGGACTGGACCCCGTGACATGCTTAGCAACCCCCCGAGGAGAATTACCCGATATCAAGGCAGAGAGAAGAATCTGGAAGGGGTGGCATGAGAGTTACGTCGTGGCGGCCAGGGCGTCGTTGGCTCGTCCGAAGTGATTTAATAGTGTGGTCACTCCCATCTCCCGGACCCTTTAGGCTGCCGCTGCTGCCGCTGCTGCATCTTGCAGGACGCAGCACCTGGTGCTCCCCGGCCTGCGAGATCGATAGATGTACGACTCTCAACGCTGCTAGTAGTAGGCGGCCAAGTGACGGGTAGGGCGGGGCGGGGCGGGGGTACGAAGGGTTCCCCCTTACTCAGGCATGACGGGCGCCGGTCAGTCACATGGGACTCTCGTCACGCCTGTCCCTGCAGCCGCCAGTGGTATTCAGCGATTCCTGTTGCTCTCAGCCGGCCGTGGCTCCATGGACGCGCGGTTTCTGGTAGGAGGGTCGCTTGGGTCTTTGAATTTTCTGATGCGTGTGGATCGCTCTCGGGTTGCTTGAGGCTGGTCTGCTACGGCTCGAGTTGCCAATGATTCACATGAGGTATGAAGCCCTGGGCCCTCTTACCTCCGTCATGATCCCGAGATGGAATTGCTCCGATGCATTCGGGACAATGAGCCTGCAGCTGCTGGGCCCTGGGTTGCGGGCGGGCCAGCGTCGAACAATAGTGGGTGGCCCCGAGGTCGACGCCGACGGGCCGCCCGGACTAGGACGACTTTAGCGGACCAGAAGGTTGGTAGGGAATGCCAGTGTGGTTTTGAAACCATCTCTTCATATCACCGAAAGCCTAAAGCATTCGCGCGCTCAAGCTCATTCGCCACGGAGGGGCTGATTACAAAACATTATGTTGGCCTGACTTCATCTCTGGCAACCTGCAGCACCAGAGTCAACATATTCCTGTGCCCCAAGACCCAGTCTTCACGAAATTGCAGCGATTGAGAGCGCCAAAAGCTTGCAATACGAAAACTGCTTTCAATTTTCAACGCAACTGGCTCGCCCTCATCCTCCACTATGCTCGGACCCCCTGTCAACCTGCCCAAGTGGTGAGTAGCGACTCCAGAACACCATGATGCGACTTTTCGAAGCTATTCGCGCAACCCCCCACTTCGACCAGGCTTGACTCAGGCTAACGCATGCCACACCAGGCTGGAGGAGAACTCGCACCTCCTCAAGCCCCCAATCAACAACTACTGCGTCTACAATGACGACTTCACAGTCATGGTACACTTTTCAACTACACGTGCCACTGTTCTGTCAACTACACAACGAGTTGCAGTTTGCTAACCCCGTTCCTAGATCGTCGGCGGCCCCAACGCCCGGACGGACTATCACATCAACCAGACGCCCGAGTGGTTCTACCAGTACAAGGGCGCCATGATGCTCAAGGTCGTCGACGAGGGCGTCTTCAAGGACGTCATCATCCGCGAGGGCGACATGTTCCTCCTCCCCGGAAACACCCCGCACAACCCCGTGCGCTTCGCAAACACCGTCGGCGTTGTCCTCGAGCAGCGCCGCCCCGAGGGCTCGCTCGACCGCATGCGCTGGTACTGCGAGTCATGCCGCGACGTGGTCCACGAGGCCGCCTTCCACTGCACCGACCTCGGCACCCAGATCAAGGCCGCTGTCGAGGCCTTCAAGGCCGACGAGCAGGTGCGGACGTGCAAGAAGTGCGGCGCCGTGGCCGAGGCGGCCCCGAAGCCCGGGTCGATCAAAGACCCCAACCTCGAGTGATTCATCTGGCAGTGTCTGGGAGGCGTGTGTTTACGGTGTTTTAGGTGGGGGGAGTATGTTGTAGGCGAGCAGACAGTCTATGTAATAAGAGTACATGCAATTCGGTCGATCGACGTCGAGACATTTTCTCGCACCCGCGGGCTGAGACCCAACATGACCTTCCCAGGAAATTGTTGCAGATAAATCGCTCATAATATTCTATACATCCGACTCAGGAACGTCAAGTCCGCCTACGTCTCGGCGAACTGGTACGAACTGGGAGATTCCTCGACGCCAACCTCAATCTTGGCCTCGGGAAGCTCCTTGCCATTGACACGGAGACCGGCGTGGATAATGTCTCCGGGCACGGCCGGGCCGACCCCGGCGGGAGTGCCGGTGAGGACGATGTCACCGGCCTCGAGGGTCATGACCTTGGAGATGTCGCTCAAAATACGGGGAATCGGGAACAGCATCAGGTTGGTGGAGGCGTCCTGCTTGGTCTCGTTGTTGACCTTGAGGAAGAGCTCGATGTCGTGAGGATCCGGGATGGCGGACTTCTTGACAATGTCACTCATTGGCAGAAAAGTGTCGAAGCCCTTGGCGATGGACCAGGGAAGACCCTTCTTCTTGGCCTCGTTCTGGGTGTTGCGCGCAGTCATGTCGATGGCAAGCGCGTATGCTGCGTCATGTCAGCAAGCCCTGTGGTGAGGCGCTGGTGCCTCGGTTTGATGAGACGTACCCTCAATGGCATCGATGGCACCTTCGTAGTCGTCGGGACTGAGGTCCTTGACCTGCTTGCCCATAATGAGAGCAAGCTCAACCTCGTAGTGCATGTCGACGCCCTTGGGCCTCAGCACGGGGCCAGCCCCGGGGAGGAGGATGGAAGAGGTAGGCTTGAGGAAGAAGAAGGGTTGCTTAGGGCGGGCACTGTTGAGCTCTTTGATGTGATCGCTTCAGACCGCAGGTTAGCTGTCTCTCTGGTGCTGGTGCCGCTGAGGGCGATGGACAGGTCACTCACGCATAGTTGCGGCCAATGCACATGACCTTTCCGGCCTTCTTCAACGAGGCGGCGGTAGCCATTGATCGTCTAAACACCAAGGACATCTTGAGTTATGCAACGCTATTCCGTCTCTGTTGGAGGCTCTCGTCAGTATCGGACTCTTTTACGTGAGCGTGAGATGTTGATAACGAGCTCGGGATGAAAGCCGAAGCGATGCCGGAGCAGCACCGGATAGCGAACACTCGGCGATCACGGGTGGGCCCGTTATGCTTAGTCAGGGCCAGCGTCCACTATGACGGAAGAAGGTGCTAGGTAGGTTGGTAGGTAGGTATGTAACGTCGGGGGAGCTACTGGCACAACGGAGGTTTGCCAATGCGGACTAGGCGCTTTGGCGCTGGCGGATGCGTCAATCGGTGACCAGCTAATTAATTACATACATAGTATGGCAACCACACTAAAGTCCTGCATCAGGGCGGGGGAGGAGCTTCCAGATGGAACGGCGACTTCGCGCAGGCTTCAATCCAATCTGATTCACGTGGGATCTTCTTGAAGGTGTTCTTGAGTCAATTGTTTCCACTACCGTATCCTCTGACTTAACTGAAAAACCGCACAGACCGCAGGCTGCTGAAAAGGGGCTGGCGTGGTGGCAGAAACAGGGATCTAAATGTGGCAAATACAGGGAGTCATTTACGTCAGCAGCAAGTTAGGCGGCAAGGGTTAGGGTTACATGGGTGGGTGTGTGTAGAAATAGATTGACCGCTTTCTATAAGGGGTCTAGCGTATGGTCTATGCGGTTTTTCAGTTAAGTCAGAGGATACGGTAGCCCGGTCGAGGAAAGAAGAAGGCCAGGAACCGACCACTTTGAGGGGTTCAACAGTGAGGCGGTGGTCAGTGGCAACCGTCCACTGAGGTGTGCCACACATTCCAGCAGTCACTTCATCGGATTGCAAGGACAGGGAAGGGCCCGGGGTCGCGTGCAGTGTGGTTGAATTGGTGGGGGAAGGGAAAGTGTCACCCTCCCCCGCTTCCTTCTTCTTCGATGACAGCACGGCGACCCTTCCGCCGAATCCGATCGCCAAGAACCAATCAGGATACCTTTTCCCTGCAATCCGGGTGCTGGCCTTCCTTTGTTAGGTACCTATGTCTCCGGCGGGGTAATTCTCTCTCTCTCTTTCTCCCTCTCTCTCTCTTTTTTTTTTTTTTTTTTTAGGGCCACCTACAACCAGACCTTTTATAGCCTGCCAAAAGTATATGTTTATCAGCATCTTTACTCAGGCTGTGAGATGCTTCTTTGAGCTACACAAACTCACAAGCATACGAACAAGAAAAGAACGACAGCTCCTGGTACTCGCACCCTCCGCTCTGGCCCTCCTCCAGCTACGCGATTCTCAAACCTGACACAGTCAAACCTCTCCTCCGGCGCCTGTGCCGCTTTGTCTTTTTCCGAAGACTCCTTTCTCGGCCTGCTTTGGACTGAACTAGAGTGAATGACGGCGTGGGTGGGTTCCGTGTTCCGCTCCTGTCCAGTCCCACTCTTCTGATTTACTGCTAATTACCAACGTATCCACTTCGGATCCTCGACTAACACTGCATCGGTCAAGGTTTAATTACCCAATCCTCCATCCTTCGCACGCGATCATCCCCCCAAGGAGAATCTGCACACGCGCTCCAAACGACGCCATGGAGAGCCTCCAGCTGGCACAGATGCTCGCCGATCTGAGCAGCCTCAATGCGGCGGTTCGTCCCCCTCTCCTTTTCCTAACTGTCTTTTGTCGCAATCTCTCCTCCAGCGCGCATTCCTTGGCTTGCCCATGTAGCCCCCCCGCTTTGCGCTCTGGCAGTCGAAGGGGGAAACGGGAGTCGAGTAGGGGAGGGCCGCAGTGGACTTTTTGAGCAACTCAGAAACAGGCTGTCTACTGGAAGCTGACGATTTCTTTTCTCCAACCTCAGGAACCCAATGCGGCAGCAGCCCTCGTCACAGCGAACAAGGCCATCGATACCGTCGAGAGGGCCGGCACCAACCCCGCCGGCGCCGGACTGCCTAAGCGACCTACCGATGAACTCCGCCGCGCACACAGCTCGCAGACCTCGCGGCCGGGCCCAGGCAACGTCTCTCCCGCCCGCATCGACAAGTTCGGCCGTCGTATCATGATGAGCCCGCCCGTCTTGTCACGCTCCAACTCGGCCCAGGGCTCTTCCATCCCGGGCACCCCAAAAAGAGAATCAGAGGTACGAGGCGCTGTCCCGCTGCTGTTGCATCAGTCACATCATTCAAGGACAAGACAGAGTGCTTACACGACGGCTGTGGAACAGGGCGAAGACGATCTGGACCGGGCATCGACATTGATGGCGCTGTACGAGATCCGCGCAAAGCTGAAGCAACAGGACAACAGCAGCCTCATGAAAGCGCGCGAGAAGATTGCCGACCTGGCCGCACGGCAGCACCAACAACAGACGGCTCCGGCCAAGAAGGAATCCGAGAGGATAACCTCCCGGTTCACGTTTCCCAAGTAAAGACATCGACAAGCAAGCAAGCACACATCTGCTTCGTTTCACATCAGCGGTGGTACGGCGTTCTGGGGATGACATGATCTGTTTTGCTTTGGACGAGGCCCGGCACAATGGACAATAAAAGTTGCGACGAATCGGTATTACGGGCTACGATGGGTTCTCGGTTGGACGCTGGGCATACGTTTTGCGTTTTTCTTCATGTTTTGTTTTTAGCCGATTGGCAGGCACACGGAGATCAGGCACACGGAGATCAGGCAAACCAGGGATCGGTGTACACTTGTTTCTCGTCCTTGATCTGGCTACGGGAGGGGCGCTGAGCAGAGTCTCGGGACAATGGGGGGAAAAGCGCAAGGGTCACATCTAAGGACTGAGCCACCAACGATGGATTGGGTCTCACAGCGCTTGCTAATATCATGGTCTCGATGCTGATCTGATCAGTGCAGGATTTGTGTATTGATAGAGAATTATACCTCCTAATATCCAGAAGACATGCCAGTTTCACGGGGTTGTAGCACAACGCAGACCTAGGCGCAGTGCAAGAGGGATGTGTGATGTGCAGCCAATTTATTGTGCCGATGGCTGCAGGAGTGTCGGTCATGAGAGGTGGTGAAGACCGGGAGCATCAGACCGCCAAGTCCGGCGGCGTGCTGGGAATGTTGCGAAAGTCTCAAACAACGAGGTAGAGAGAGTTTGGGGGCCAAACCAACCAACTTCGAAGCGCCTAGTGGGAAGAAACGAGCAGAGTTGGCGCTAGAAGTTTAGAAACAGACTTGGCGACAAAGCCGAGCAGTTAGAAGGGTCCCGTTCGGATTGCTCTGTTGAGCAACGATTGGGCGGAGGAAGAAGAAGAAGAAGAAGAAGAAGAGAGAGGGGTACAGATATATTGGCCAAACTCACCCAATCGGACTCGGCTGTGTCCTCATAGCATGTCTATATTAGGCTGAGCTTTCGCACCAACGAGCCAGTGAGAGTGCCGTGTATCAATCAAGTTGGGCGAGTTTGCTCATGATTTAGAGTTACCATTAGGATGGCCCTGCTGCATAGCGGCTCGTTGAGAGATTTGCCTGGTTGCAGCGTCTGCGGTGGGGGTGGACCAGCGCATCCCCGGTGGGGTTCGGCCACGCGAAGAGTGGAGGAGAGAGCCATATCAGCGTCAGCGGTCAAAGCCTCAATCACAATTGTAATGTATTCCCACCTCCCGAGCACCCGGGACGCACAGAGGGTCTCAAGTCACTAGGCCGGATGGTTGTGTTCGCGGTCTTGGAAAGTATACGAAGCACCCGGTTTTGGTATAGTGAGGGTTGGTGGCAGTGAGCGGTGGAACACTGTTCAAACGAAGCTGTAGAATGCGAGGTACCTACGATGGCTGGTGCCTTGGGTTACGATGCAGCCCGCCCAGTCGGACCTGCGTCGGAATGCCGCCGCAAGTCACCGATATCGTCTGGTCATAGATTGGCCGGAGGCGGCGAAAAAAGATTATCAAATTCGCCGGGGGATGCCTCAGTGTGTACAGTTCTTGACTAGGTACCACAGTGTAGATGAGCAAACAGCAAAACGAAGAGACGATTCGAAAAATGTTTGGATAACCTCGTGAGTCTGCACCGCCCAACTTGCTTGGCGTGTTAGTGAGCCCTTTCTCGCAAAGGCAAACAAACGAGGTCCAAACAAAACGGACCATCAACCGAATCCTTTATTTTTAGTCTATCTTTATACTGTGTATGATTTGTGTTCAAGGTATCCGTAGCCACGCTGCGGGCGACCGCGCCACGGGTCGACGAGGAACCCTGGGAAGGATACGTCGAGGGGCAAGGGGTCGGCAGCCGGAACGGGGACAGCCAAGTGTTGCCCGCGCTGGCGATGTGAGGCGTCCGGAGGTGGGCCGACTGCTTGGGAGATGACTGCTTCTCCATTAGCCTACGTTTGGCCCAGAAGTCGGGGCTCTGCGATTCGCTCGTAACCAAGCCGGGGGGGGGGGAGGCAGCCGTGGTTGGGCGAAGGTGCGAACACAGCCACTCTGGACGGAGCTACTGGACTCCCGTGAGAACCGGTCTGCCTGTTGTTATTGATCAAGTGGGTTGAAATTTGGAATGGTTTGGCGGAGCAGAACGAACCTTGACGCACCTGTGCCTTTGATGCTTTGGACGGGCCTGTATATTGGGGGATTTGGGGCTGGCTGGGCGACGAGATCTGATGCTGACATGCTCGATGGTCCAAACGGATATGTTCAAGTTGATGGCGCAGAGTCGGATAGGTATGACTGTAGCATCGGGGCTAGTGAATTTGGCCTTGTCTGGCAATGACAAAGACTGGGGGGATTAGTGTGGGCGGGCGTTTGCAGCGCCCCAAGAATCTTCCAGGTCTCACCAAGTCTGGGCAAAGAGGGAAGGCCACGCAATGGCGAGGGGAACAAGTGACTTTGCCCAGCCCCCAAGACGTAGCTTTGGGGTCTTCGTCTGGTGACGATTTGCTTGGCTCACTTTATTGAACCTACTATTATAACTTGATCCCTCCTTTTCCGCCATTCCCCTTCCCTCCAACCTCTCTCTCTTCTCCACCGTCCGATTTTTACTATCGCACTACATACATACATTCCTGGAATCAACAACCTTGTACATATTTGAGTCGCAGAGGCTTTCTCCCGCGACAAAAGTAAACAATTCCCTTATCCGATTAAACCCTGGCACCTGCAGCCAACGACCATCTTTGCATTGCATCCTAAATAAGCTGCTCTCTCGCATTATCACCTGACCGAGTCAGTATCTTATTTCTGTGCACATCGAAAGAGAGAGAGTCTTCCTGGTCCAGACCAGCCTTGTTTGGGGCGTCACCTATACTGGTTCTGAAGAAACATCACGTCATCCACCATTACCAGTCACCTCCCTCGATTCTAACGCCGCACCAAAGAAAGCACAGCTACGCTGCGGAGAGAAACGAGCTGCCAGAACCTTTTTACCAAAAGCACACACACATAACACATGAGCGGCTGAAACTTTCTCCTCACGACTACTTTTCTTCGCCCTTCTACACACCTACTCTTCCCCTAACCAGCAATACACACTGTCCATCGAAGTCGATTGAAATTTCGATTGGCGAAACACCTGTGGCCTAATTGACGTTTGTAGCTTTGGCAGGGCGCCTTGCAACGACCGATTCACCAAACAAACAAATAAATACACATATATCGGCCACCGTCAAACATGGCGGCCTTTGAACTCCCTCAAGCTCTCGAGAAGAGGTAAGTACACACTCGGACCAATCTGTGTGCATTACTTGCAGCTTGGGCCTACCAACCAACTGGCATGCACCGATGCACCTTCCACGATGCTCTTCTTCTGTATGCTGATATCAATCCGGCAGACAATATCCTTGCAGTTCCGGCCAAGTCTATAGAAATGGACTTTGCTACGAACGCGGCGCGTGGTACTGGTGGGGACGCTGGGTTCTCGCCGCCGTCGTCGCCGGCCTTGCACTTCTCATGGTGATCTTGTTAGTGTGCCCCCCGAGTGCTTCCACGCCTCCCCTGTCGTCAACGAATCATCAATACTGATAGTCTCCGAATAGGTGCATGAACGCTCGTCGTCGCAGGAGACGCGGCGTCCAGCCCATGTACGGCTTCGGGTGGATGGGTGGCAACAACAAACAGAACCAGCACACCTACGCCTACAACCAGCAGTATAACGGCCAGCACCAGGGCTACGCAGGCTACCCTCAACCGGGCGCGGACGGATCCTACCCCGCCCCGCCACCGGCCTACGGACAGTCTCAACAGAACCCCCAGTACACCGGCACGACCTTCAACCCCAACGACGGCTACTACGGCGCCCAAAACGAGGGCATCCAACTGCAGCAGCCGCAAAACTCGTACCAGCGCGACGTCTACTCGCCTCCCGCTGGCCCGCCACCTGGAAAGTAGAGACGGGTCGCGTTGGCCGACGAGAGTGTGATTGCTTGGAGACAAAGTGGTTCGCGACACAAACATGATACCTTCATTGCGAAAACCTGGGACGGCGTTGGCAGTTTTCTTGGAATGGAGTTCCGGTTGTACACATACACACACATGACACAACAAACGAGGCGACCCATGTAGGGGAACGATAGGATGGATATCAGCTGACGTGTATGATGATAATCTGACTCTGGCTCTAGGCCCAAGTCGGATGTGAGCCACCGGAGGCTCTGGACATGACTTGACAGTACAATATACCAGTATCGACACCCAGTTCCACGAGCGTTTCTGTAGAAACCCTAAAAAGACTGCGCATGTGCGATGCAGGCATCAGGCCAGGCCAGGCCACCACCTCATGCATCATGAAAAATGAAATATGTAGTCCAGCAACAATGGGCGATGCCGAGCTGCATGGTATGATCGTCACCAACTCGTTCGCGAGTTCTTAATGAAACCAGCTACGTGAAATCCCCTTAATAACATCTCACTTTTGAAGCGCTGGCGTCCGCAACTTGCATACTTGGTGCAGTGAGCAGCAGGTAGGCTCTCCCCACCCGAGACCGGACGGCTCTCGCTGGGCCGCTGCGCCTGGAAACCCAATTCCTTGACGGGCATTCGTTTCTGGGACGGGTGATAGCCCGTGCCTGGAGCTTGTTTCTTTTGACGACGAGGTCTCAGGGGGAGGAGGACTTTGTTGTCATCAGTAGGGATTCCGAGAAAGCAAAATCCATTGCGGTCGAGTCTGCAGACATCGGTCCGTTCCCTGCATTCATCCGACCGCAGTGGCCCCATACGGGCACGCAGCGGCTCCAGCGCGGATGTGGCGATAGCAAGAGCGTGATGTGGCTGGAAATAACCGTTGCCATTTTTTTCTTTTTTTCTTCTAATGTATTCCCGCTGGGGGCCCCTTGCCATGGCCCTTTGCGTCATCTCAGGCCTCAGGCACGGATTACCGCTGACTTGGCATCGGCCAAAGCACCTGGAGACGAAGGCGGGCACAATGTTTCACCTTATCGACGGTGCTCGCTAAGAGGGATGTGGGAGTGTGACGATGGGGCATCGGGCGAAGAGAGCCAACTACCGGTAATAACTTTCAATGACCGGTCTGTCAAGCCAATCATCTCCGAGGGCCTGACGGGTGAACCGGGGGAGGGGGGGAGGGGAGGTAGGCGTGCCGGACAACCGTTTTGGAAGCCTTACCATACCGGCGAATAGTGGGCGTTCAACAGCTCAAACGCAAGACCCGTAAGCGACAACCAGCAAGAAATTACAAGGCAGTGCCGACAAGCGGCAGCAATACTACGTAGATCAAGTCGGTACCCGCAGGTAGTAGTAGTAGTAGCAGCAGCGGCGGCAGCAGCAGCAGCAGCAGCAGAGAAACGTCCGTGGTCATTGCGGTCTCTTGAGCCGCCGCACAGGTACGTAGTAGATACGGGAGTTTGAAAAGAAGACGCATGAGAATTTAGAAGGGTCATGCCAGTATACAATAAAATGAAATAAAATCTTCCGTAGGGTACGGATACCGTGAGAGAAACAGGGAGGAACCGCTTCCCTCAGCCGTGTTCGTCTGAGCAGGGGCCTCCGGTCTGCTAGAGGCGGCACGGCGCTCGATCGCAATTCAAATTTCCCTCCAAAAATCTCCCCTTGGACGGGCTACGCTCAGGCCGCGCTCGCTATCTCTCTCCCTCTCTCGTCCTGCGCGAGGGGTGGGTGGATGGGTGCCTTGCATTATGGCTGCATGACCTGCATTATAGGGAGGTCTATCCGTAATGTTTCCTCTATTGTGATTTGACCGGGCAGGCCCGTTTGGTGGTGTTCACTGCTCTCCTCCCCCTTCCTCATTGTTAACTCTGATCGTCCCTCGTGGGTTCCTGCGGGAAAGCGATCTCTGCAGTGTATGTCCGTCACGTCAATCCCTTCCTCATTTTTACTTTCCTCTCGACACCTCGCAATCTTTTCCCTGTCCACTTTTTGATCCTCTCTGACCTTTGTGTGTTCGTGGGAACCCTTTTCGTCCCATCTACGGGCTGCCTCTAAGCAATCACTCCTTTTTTGTTTAGCCTCCCGCGTTGTATTCCCTCCGACAAACCCGCCAGGCTGCGCGTCCTTTGCCGTTTCGCTCCTTTTCCTCCATCCGCCACACAAGCCTTATCTCACCTCATCCCCTTCGCCATTCCTGAGGCTGTTTGGCAGCACTCCCTTTTGTCTCTCATTCATCATTCGACTCGACCCGATTCGCACCGCGAAAAGCAGCAAGGATCAGTCTCGAAGCCACTTCGGTACTTATTTTCGACACGTCTCGCGAAACGGACGACCCTCGCCCCCAGCCCCCAGCCTCCATCCAACCTGGGATAACCGTGTCTCTCGACAGGCCAACACAGATTGCCGCCCCCTCCCTGATTTGTGTACCGTCTACACTCTGCAGATTCGTCTACCGCTAATTCTCAGGCTAACGGCAAGGGGGAAAGTGGCCACTCACAGCGCTAAACCTATCATAGAAAGCGGTCAACCTTTCCACCCATCCTTCCACTTGCCCACTTGCCCTTTATTTACTGTTCTTACGCCTTAACTTCCTGCTGACGTAGATAACTAACCCCTGCTTTTGCTATCACCAGATCCCTGTTTCTGCCAGCACGCCAGCCCCTATTTGGTGGCCGCGATACTCCTTGCCGTTAGCCTGAGAATTAGCGGTAGACGAATCTGCAGAGTGTAGACGGTACTCCAAGGCGGCATTGAGTAATAGGACCGACCGATATAAACTACTCACTCTGTTGGCCACCGACCGCCCAGCTTTCAGGGAGATCCCCTCGTGCTTGCTGACCTGCACCGCCCAGTTTCAGTGGTCTCTCGAGACGAAAGACCTCTTGGCTAAGCATCGTCCCTTGCTGTCATTCGCCGTCTTTTTTCTACCATCCGCCCCCACCCACTCGCACACTCAAGGGGGGCGAACGCTTTGCCCTGTCGCAGTGACGACGAACTCTTCTTTCAATTTCTTTGCAGGCGACACAGACTTGGTTCCTCTGTGAGCCTCTCGACTTTCGTTTCCGACCACCACCCAACTTTCGTTTTGCCCTTGGCTTTTTGTGATTTTCCCATCCTCCTTTCTCTTAGGCGCATTCGACCGTTACACCTGCGTTATTCGATATCCGGCACCACGAACGACTCGCCTTCCTCCTTGATTGCACTTTGATTACGCTCAAAGCCAATCGAACAACAGCAACCGAAGAAAAACACCCAAGGCCGAGGACATGATGGAACTGTAGCCTCATGATTATTTCGGATCTAGAAACCTCTTAAACAATCGACCTCGATACACCCTATTTTGTGGGTATACTATCGAGAATCACGTTCATTTTCGGAGGAAAAGAAGAAAACAGAAAGACGGGGAAACAATAGCATTCAAAGATGCCTTCGATCGATGTCGCCATGGCGAGGAGTCTTCGGGGAGGGGTATTGGGTTCGGTCGTGTCGAGCCTGGCCGCGAACATTGAGAACCGCGGAATTACGGACACGGTAACCAACGCCGGAAACCAGGTCAGCGATGTGAGAAAGGCCTTTTCCAGTTGGGACAACTGCATGGCCGCCACGTACTGCAAGTAGGTTTTTGACTGTAGCCTCGCCCGGCTGCTTGGACGCTGACATTCCCAGGTGGCCCGTCATTGGCGTTATAATTGTTGTCAGCTTGATCATCTTCTCGATTGTGTGGTGCATCATCCGATGCGCTTGCTGCGGGTTGTCGTGCTGCTGCCAATGCTGCTATTGCCTGAAGTGCTGCGGCGAATGCTGCGGTTGCTGCGACACCCCCAAGGGGACACCTCACAAGCATCTCGACGATTCATATGGACCGACGAATCAAGGCTACAAGTCCCAGGCGCCAATGGCTCCTTTCTATAACGGCGCTCCTGCGCATGCGGCGCATTCGACAGCACCTGCCGCCACGGCCAGTGGGGCTGCAGCGCCGCCACAGTATGCCGAGTTCGAGGTCAGCAAGTCCGGCTCCAACTCGGCAGACGCAGACACGCTACCGGCAATGCCGAGCTGGGAGGGTGCAGGCTCTAAGAAGGTCGCAGTCGAGGAAGAGGTGGAGCTTGAACAGATGAAGCCTGCGGCCTCACCAAACCCCAACGGACAGAACATGCCCCTGATGGCACCCAACGCTACGTCGCACCCGAACAGCCCCATGCCGGGCGACAGGAGTCCATATGGCCAGAATGCCCAGGCAGGTGCCAGCGGCTACTTCCCCAACACCAACCAGCCTGCAAACCCTTATGCGATGGGCAGCCAGGGGCCCAATGGCTACAACGGCGCATACGGGCAATCGACCTCGTCTTTCGGAGTTGACCAGGGCTACGGCGCTGGAGCTGGGGGTATGGCAGCAGCAGGAGGTATGGCAATGGCTCAAGGCGGCCGGCCTCCGCACCAGGAATTCAACAAAGGCGGGTACGGGCAGCAGAGGGGCCAGACCTACCCTCCCCCTCAGCAGGAGTTCGACCAGGACTATGGCAGCTACGAGCAGGGAGGATACGGAATGGGCCGGCCTTCGCGTAACGGCCCCAGCCCGGCTCCTATTCCCCGGAGCTTCGCGGCACCTCCTCGCAACGGGCCCAGTCCCGCGCCGCCTGGCTTCCGCCGCTCTCCCGGACCTCCCAGCGATTACCGCGACTCTCCCGCCCCTCCCAACGACTACCGCAGGTCTCCGGCTCCTCCTTCTGAGTACCGACGCTCGCCTGCGCCCCAGAACGACTACGGCTATGACCAGAAAGACCAGTACTCTGCGGACAACTATGGCCGCCCGCAATACGGAGGCGGTGCGCGTCAGTACTCTTCCGAGTCCACCCGCCCCCTAGCTCCTCAGCGCAGCTACACCGCTGAACCGGTGTCCCCGAATCTCCAGAACAACGCTGGCTTCGACTTTAGCGGCAACAGCCGCCCGCAGCAGTACAACTACAACCGCGGCCCAGGCGGTGGCGTCCCGCAGCACGTCGAAGAGGAGGAAGAGCAGCGACCTCCGCAAAGCAGCGGCGGCACCTACCCAGGATACAAGGCGTACCAGCCGACCAAGGACGGCTGGAGCGGCGTCTGAGCAAAACGACAGAACACCGTGAGCAGTTTGCACGCATGCAAAGGAGCATCGACGGCCTTTCCGCCTATACCAGACTTCTATTTAAAGCCTAATTCGGTCAGAGATTCATCCACGCAGCTTTGCTTAAATTTAAATCTTCCGATAGAGGTTTGTCTCGGATGGATAAGCCCTATCCCTCGATTCATACGGTTATTGGCCGTATATTTGGTATGCTCAGAAAACAGCATTGTTTGGGGACCGCTTCCTAGGAGTTTCGGGCATACAGAAAGGGCCGCTTTATTTTCGCATCATAACGAGGAGCAGTTCAGGGCTATATAACGACCTAAGTCAATCTTCTTGTTGGGGCGCCTTGTTTTTCTTGGTTTCAATTTCCTTGACGTTATTGGAGTGACACTATTGTGGGTTTGGTCTTTTTCACTTTTGCTTATCAAATGGTGTGGATAACCATGCGGGTTACTTTCTCTTGGCGCTGAACGAGCCGCAGGCTGGCGTCGTACCATCTGCTATCTTCATCCTGCTCGGCATGGTTCTGAGTTGGGGGCTCCGGCTGAAAGTCAATTGGGAGAGCCCTAAGGAAGTTAAAGACGGACTGACTCGAGGGGTTTAGGAGGATGGACACTGTGTTGTCGGCATGGCTTCCTGTAGCTGCGCCGGGTTCGGGGTCTCGAAAGTGACCCCGCCGGAGGATAGCAGATGAATACCAGAAGCCACATTCAACCAACGTGCGCATTTGCGGGACATGGTCGTAGTGACAGGTATGCTAAGGAGGAACCCAGCCTATAACTCGGGCAAGCCGAGGGTATCGACGTCGAGAGCACCCATCAATAAACTGCAACTGACCCGGGCAGCTGCGGTCCCGGTAGAGTCTATGCTGCGAGACACCACGCACACCGGTCTGTACGCTCAAGCAAGGCCCAGCAGAGCTACGAGGAAACCTACCGTCCGTGTCTCGGCGGCCCTTTGTGCTCCGGCGGAGGAAGTCTGTACCGCGGTTTTTCGGAGCCGACACTTGGGGTGAAACGCCTGCCTCTCCCACATGGGGGAAGAGGGGGCGGCGGCTAGGGTCCGTTTTATGATCGGCCCTTTTCCCCTTTACATGCTCGACGCATCCGTTCTCGAACAGTAAAGCCGGGCACAGATGGGGGGTTCAAGGGGAAAGAGAAGACGAGCAGATGGGGAGTCGGAACGATGCATGAGACGCGGCGACCAAGGGTGCGGTATCCTGAAGCCGCGACGAAGGGCGACAGGGCGTACTGACCAACCCCGGGGGATTGTTACGGGATTGGGAGGACAAATCAAGAACGCGGCCCGATATATAACTCTGCATGATTTGCAAAAATGTTCCGATACATTAACGTCCTCCCTCGCGTTCCAGGCGACCGTCTCGCATGGCTTACTCGATCCAGGATAAGTTAGGAATAGAAAGGGGATCGTGGGGTTCCCGCTATAAGGAAAACGGGGGGACGACGCATCCCGTCTGGCAGTGGCCGCCGTACTAGGGAAACCGAAAGCCACCCACCCCCTCAATGGGTGCCGGCTTGTAGTAGCATACCCAGCCGAGGTTCCCTCCCGTCCCCCGACACACCCGCGCCGACTGAAAGGTCCGCGAGAGCCCATCTAGCGGTGCGCCATGCCGCGCTGGACGGCCGCAGCGCGGCGCTGGCGCTGGGCCTCATCGTGGAGAAGCAGGTGAAACACCTCGCGCCGGGCGGCCCAGGCGCGGAGCTCCTTGTCCCGTTCCTCGCGCGCCACGTCGTAGTCCGCGGTGCGGTAGATGTTGCGCGCCTGGTCCAGGCGCTGCTCGAAGCGCCCCTCTCGGTCCGCCTCGCTCATGGCCCCCTCGACGAACCTCCACGTGTCCGTGACGACGACGTATTCGACCGTGTCCCCCTCCCCGTGGTGCTCCCACGCCCTGCCCCCCAGCCGGCTCGTCCCTGTCCACCTCCACTCCTCCAGCGCCGTCCGCTCGGCGCTCAGGTACCCGCCCTCGTCCTCCTCCCACACCTCCTCCTCCACCCCGTCCTCGTCCCGCTCCACGCTCCGCCTCCCGCCGACGGCGAGCTTCCACTTTTTGTTCCGCTCCACGATGGCCATCATCTCGTCCCTCTTGCCCGCCAGCGTCTCGTACTCGACCCGCAGCTCCCGCAGGCCCGCCGGCCCCCGGAACCCGCGCAGCCAGTCCTCCCGCATGCGCAGCGGCACGTCGTTCTCCCAGTGCCACCAGTCCGAGTACCGCACCGTCACCGTCAGGGACTCGGGCCGGAACCGCGGATGCGAGAAGAGGAACGCGAGGTTGTCGCCCCCCTCGAGCCAGAACATCTGCGTGAAGAACCGGACCCGCCGCAGGTCGCGCGACTGCTCCGCCGTGAGCCCGAGGAAGAAGCCCTCGCAGCTGTCGTTGCCCGTCCGTCCTTCGGGGCCACGGTCTGTTTGTTCGCACCGGCCGACGCGGGCCCTTCCCGTTAGCCTCTTTTTTTCTTTTTTTTCTCCCCCCTTAACTTTGGCCCATGCGTCAGGATATGGAGGGGGAGGGGGAGGATGATAGTGAACGGTCACAATAGGGTGAGTTTTCACAGGGGACTTGAATACGCACTGAACCAGAACGCGAACTCCTGCTCCCTCAGGAACACCTTTTGGCCCTCGGCGTACGCCAGCTTGCACGTCCGGAGGAGGCTGCTGCTGCTGTGCCTCGGCCCCCGGAACCCCGGCCGGTACCAGTACGAGTCCTCCGGGTACGCGGAGGCGTCGTCGCCGTCGTCGTACTGGATGAGCGCCAGCGCAAAGATGTCGTTGCGGACCTCGCCGGGGAGGACGCTGAACAGGGGACTTTTGAGCTGTGGGTTGAAGCCCGTGACGTCGATGCTCGACGAGGCGGCGGAAGAGGAGGCCATAGAGACTAGGTGGGCTGGCTGGCTGGCTGGCTGGGGGTCTCGTCACGGCAGGGTGCAGGTTGCAATGGTTTTGGTTTGTCGAGGTGGCCGGGAATCGACGCTGCCCAGACGGCGATGCACTCATACCGGCGGCGGCCTTCTTATGGCGTTCCACAAAGCGGGGTCGGACGCCTCCTTGCCTGTTGCTGCCTATCGACTTTGGGCCGCAGCACCCAATGGCATTCACGGCATTATACGTTTCAAGTTGATGGGTGTCTCTCCATCTTGATTTTAGGGTTTTCAAAGTGGTCGGTGAAACCAATCAGAACAAAAGGTACACTCGTGGTATTGTCATGAAATTCATCAAAAGAGGCCGTAAGAATGTTGTGGCGTAAAAGTACGAAAAGGTTGCCTCCACGTCCATCCGTCTCTCTAATACCCCCCAGACCCAAATAAAATAGCAAGCAGAGTTCTGTCTCTTCCAACCTAATGAGCTGCCAATACCTCTCCCTGTCTCGTTCTATCGCTGACCGCGCTACCAGCGTCGCTCTCTCGAGTCGCCTTGTTTCCAGTGGTTGAACTGGCAACGATATGGGCGTCGTCGTCGTGCCCCACGCTCTGCTTTCCCCTAGCGTTGGACACAGAGTCGGATGGGTCGACAGCATAGTCATCCTGTTCGGGACGCCAGTCACGCAAGTCGTCCTCCGCGTCGTTGAGAATCTGCCGTGCCTGTTGAGCATGGTGATAGGCCGGACGCATGTCGCCTGGAACAACCGGGGTGTCATCAAGGAGCTGCAGCAGTCTTCGGCCGTGCTTGGCGAGGATGATCTGCTTCTCGGCTCGCTCAATGGTTGCGGCAAACTCGGCCTCGTAGGCTTCCTTGAGCTTCTGGCGAGTCTACACGGTACCGTTGTTAGCATATCAGGGGCAGAGAGTACTGTGAGATGCAGAAACGCACAATGTTCGTTAGCTGGGCCTCGGCGACCAAGTTCTCCGCCTCGGCGCGAACAAGCTCCTGCTCGAGCACAACGAGTTTGGCACTCTGGGGCTCCTTCATCTTCAATTTCGCAATCTCGTCGGCAATTTTATCCTTGCCGTCGCGGCTTGGCTGCACGCTCTTCTCCGTGTTGCGGATGTGCTTGAGAACACCGCGCGCGTCATCGAGTGAGTGGGCGTATTGGTCCTCCTGCTCGCCGAGCTCGCTGAGGATTACGCCGACCTTGTCCGAGACGTCAGAGACGGCGGCGTCGTTGGTCTGCTCGCCCCACTCGGACAGCTGGGTGGCGATGGAGATGCGCTCGCGGCCGGCCGTCTCGTGGGCGGTGATGAGGTTGTTCTCGCTCTTGATGATGCGGTAGAGCTTGCGTGAAAGCTCGGGCTGGACGTTGCCGCGCAGAGAGTTGAAGGAGAAGCCGGTGCGCTTTGTGGAGGTGTTTTGGGAGCCATTGCGGCGGTGGTTGGATCTGATGGATAGTGAACGGTTCCTGTTACGGTGTTAGTCGGCGGTTCGAACAGGGTTGCACAGGTGTCTGCCAGACGTAGACGGGGTCATGGTGGAAGACACCAAAGGTGAACCGTAGCCTGTGGTGTTCAAGTCGGCGTTTTCACTACCATCGCACTTCTCGCTGCTGCGAGAAAAGAAGCGAAGCATATTGGCGATGATGACGTTGGCTTATTATGTATGAAAAGAGCCTCACTTACATGGTTACGGTTGACCGGTGTCGATCACGGATCTCTGTGTCCTGATTGCGACTTCTGGCAGCTACCTGCAGAGTATTTGAAGCAAGACCTATGCTGCGCCGTGAATGCGAAAATGGCAGGAGAGAAGAGACCCGGACCCTGTAGGGTGTGATGCACGCCTCTGGGAAGCTGGATACCAGAGAGTAAGTATATGTGATTCGCAGCTGCAGATTTCTTCAAGCCAAACTTGCAATGCGCCTGATCTGATTCACAGCAAATGATAGGGCAAGGTGAGTGAGATGGTTCGTCGGGTAGCAGGAGACTGAAGCAATATAAGGTGCGACAGCCGTTATGCGTCAAGGGTAAACAGCCGACTTTATGACGATCGTTTTGGTCTAGGGAGACGCCGGTACGACAGCGGGACAGTCGGAATGGAGTAAGGGACCGAGTGAGACAGTCATGTCATACCGTAGACACTGGTGAGATCCGGTAAAAGCTAGGAAACCCGCTAGCCTGAGAAAGCTAGCCGATATCCTAGAGCAGCTAGCGGATATCTACCACGCTAATCTCAATATATAAAGCGGTCAACCCACTAGCCCACCTATCCACCCACTTGCCTACTTGCCTACTGCTGACGTAAATAACCAACCCCTGCTTCTGCCACCTCTAGATCCCTGTTTCTGCCAGCGCACTATACCTCTCACAGCGGCCGCGATACCCCTTACCGTTAGTAGGTTTCCTAGCTTTTACCGGATCTCACCAGTGTCTACGGTAATTGAGCTGTTGGCAGGTGGCCGTCCACATCACAAGAGGGAAACTAGACACAGGCTGGAAAGGTACCTAGTTCCGACTCTAGTCTTCTTCGGGCTGGGGGGTGGGCAAACAACCAAGGTAGCCACGACAGCTTCTGCGCGGGCCATCTGCTACTTGTACGAGAGCTAGCCAAGGCGCATTTGATCGGTCAGTCTGTCTACAGCTCAGAGGTTGGCGGCGAGGCATGCCGAGAAGACCGGGCTGGATTGTGTAGTTCTTTCCCCAAGAACTGTTCTCGGGGTGTGGCTGCGATGATGCTTAGAATGACGGAGGTTGTAGGGGTCGCGCCATGACGTCACGGAAGAAGACACCAGCGGCTCTGGGCATCACCCAGGAAAGGGCCCCCTCACTCGCTGCCCCTCTCCCATCTGGGTCGGTATCCTTTTCTTGCCTCGCTCCTCCATATTGCATGGAATTGCAGCGCAGCGCAGCGCACGCCTGTCGCACATGCTCAAGAACTCCAGCGTCAAGGTCGTCAGGCTGCTGAAAAAAAAAAAAAATCCTACCCAGGCGCAGTTTTGGCCGGCGCTCGCTCCTTGCTTCTTGCGCTTTGGGGACACAACAAACTATAGCAAGAGTAAGTATGCGCATTTGTCCTACGTCTGAGTGCATGCACCATCTGCCGAAGGGAAGGAAAAGTCTAGATGCTGAGCATGGAATCAACAAAATGAGGAACAGGAAAGGGGAAGATAAAAAATGTTGCCCAAGACAAAAATGCCGGGTTTGACCTCACTGTGAGACGTAAACTTGGTATTGATTTCATTATAATCATGCCGAACGGAATCATACAACTCCGGATCCGAGAGCCTGACAGCACTACTCTCGTGATGCGGCGCCGTCCAAGGCCAAATACCAACATCAAATCCTCCAAATGGTCCGACGCCGTCGCTGTCGTTATTCGTGTGTCGCTTTATGGTTCGGGTGATTAAGCTCCCATCCCATCTCGTCGTCTTTTTTTATATTGCCCGTCGCCTTTCCGTCGTTCCCCTCTTTCTGAAACGCCATGCCGCTTTCTCGTCTGACCATAAGTGGCTTGGGACATATTCCCGCTTCTTGCTTCTCGTGCGCGATACTGCGCCTGACCCCTTCTATCGGTATGTGCGACTGCTCCGTTCGTAGATCACGGGCTCAACGTAGCTGGCACGCGGGCCGCTGGAGACGTAAGACCGCCTCACGCTCGTGTAGCTCGCGCGCGGGGAGGAGCCATGGTGGTGATGGTGGTGTCCGTGGTGGTGATGCCCGTGGTGGTGGTGGTGGTGTCCGTGGTGGTACCTGGCGGGGATCACCTCCTCATGATAGTAGTATTTGCGGCCGCTAGTTCCGAAGCACATCTTGATCGGATATGGGGTGTTCGATCGTTTGTTGAGCGGATCGTTCTCTAAGGGCTATGTGAAGTTTGAGGTGTTCTGTACAGAACGAACGGTAGGTGATCTGGTTGGTTGGTTGGTTGGTAGATACTAGTGGTGCCAGGCTAACCAGAATGCAAAGCTGGCCAGAAAACAGACGATGGATGCGACTAGAAGGCCCCGCGAAGATTCTAGTGAACAAGTGTCAAGGTTACGGACACACCGGACTGGAATAGGTATGGTAGGGGGCGACGGGCTGCCTTTTATGATTTCCCAACTCATTACTGTCACCAGATCGCCAGAACCTAGACGGCTTGGACCTTGTCTTCCAAGTATGTTGCTCTGTACATACGCAGTAGTAGGAGAGGTACCGGTAGTGTTAGGGGGGACTCGAGCCATCCAAGGCTCATGCAGCCCGTCATCCATCCCACCTCCCATCCTACGTCCATCCCGCATCCCCCCTCCAGACGGCATTGACAAAAGCAAGCAAGGCGCGAGACAGCCCTCACCGAAACCCTGTGAGTGTGCACATGAGTGATTGATGGTTGGTCGTCAGAGTCATGGGTGGCTCAGCTCCTGGCTTCTGGCTCATGGTCTCAAGTTCTGCTCGCAGCCCCTCTCCCAGCCTCTAGGCTTGCCAGGTTCGTGGGCAGAGCTGCCCTGGTTCCGACCCTTGCTTCAATTCGCAGGGCGGGACACGCATTGAGCACATCCAACGCCAGGGTCTCCCCACCTTGAGTTCTGACACCTCGCGCAACATACCGGGTCCCGGAGGACTCGCGCCAACAGAGGGAAAGTTGGCTTTTTTTTTTTTAAGGAGCGGTGGAGGCCCAAAGGCCTTAGAATTGAGGGAAGAGTCACAGATCGTGTAGGGACTCAAAGGGAGAAGTTTGCCGAGGATCAGCTGTCTGTTCTTTTTCTGTCTTCTCGACCAGTTCCGCTCTTCGGTGCGGGAAACCCGCTGAACCGGTGTGTCGCCGGCCGTTACCGTTACAATCGTTGCCAACGTTCGGAGCAAGACAGAAAACCTTGAATACATACATGTATGCCATGAATGGAATTGGGCAAGGTTGTACCTCCTTTGTTCTGCTTGATGACCTCCTAGTGCTATCGCCCTTAAAAACGGGACTTAAGATCTGATCTTCCCATCGGGTCTATCCAAACCCCAGTTCTCCACCGTACTCACACTTTTGGTCAGCCTACGTCAGCCTGCATCCTCCTGGCAGCATGCTGGACAGATGGCAGGGACTTTCCCCGAATCCCACGCCTTCGCAAATGCTCAAAACAATGACATCGGGCCCTCCCCTTCAATGCCCCTGGCATCACCTAGTACGACACGCCGAGTCAGCAGTGATCAATCAACGAACGAATATCAGTATTTCAGTCCAATTGTGATTCTCTAAAGCCATTCGTTCCGCACTCTGCTTTTAGATGTCCGTCTGATGTTACATGTACAATGCTAGGAAAGCCGCCATTCCAATGTCTAAAAGTCCATCCCCACCCCGCTCTAGTTCTTGCCCGAAATCTTAGGGTTCAGTCCGCCAACAAGCCACGCAGCAACGAACAGGACGATCGTGCTGCTGAAGATGACGATAGGCTTCCGCAGGGCGGAGACAACCGAGTACTCGTACGACACAATCACCTCCCGGTCGCGGAATTCGTCGACAAGGTTGATCGCCTTGATGGTGACGGCTGTGCGGCCAACGGTGTCGAGATACGTCTTGTGTACGCCAATGGCCGTGTTCGTGATTGAAGACTGGGGAAGGCTGGTGTAAAACTTGACGTTCCTGCACATGCTTGTTAGCTGTGAGTAGTGGCTCTGAGGTATGGATTCCACTTACGTTGCTCCCTCCGGCAGAAGGATTTGCAAGTTGACTTGTCCGTACTCAACACCCTCGGGCTGTTTAGGACCCTCCAAGAAGGGCACGTTGACAACGTACTTGCCAGCATCGACGGTGCGAACAAAGTTCTTCGCATCCGAGTTCCAGCCAATGGTAAAGGGGTACTTCCAACCGCCAAAGATAGGGTAGCGCGGCTTAATCTCCAAAAGAGCCTCAAGCTTGTTGGAGCGGAATCTCGATGTAGAGACGTTACCAACGACATCGACAAAGTATGGATCGGCACTTCCGGCCTTCAACGGGAATTTCATCTCCTTGAGCGCGTACGTATTGGGGTTGTAGTACTGCGCCTGCGCCCACTTAACTCGGTTGAAGAGCTTGGAAAGGTTCGCGCCGCGGTGGTAGAGTTCGTATCTCTCTTCGAAAGCCACGTTTCCGCCCCAGTGGCTGACCTCGATGTCGCGGTCGAGTCTGGCGACATGGGTGACGGGCTTGGTGAACTCGAACCGCACCTGGGCAGCGGCGAATGCACCAGCGGGCTTCTCATCAAAGGGACCGTAGACGAGCTTAGCGCTTTGCTTCTGAGGGAACTCTTTGATGTCACCGCTTCCGGGAAGCTTGGTGAAGTCGGGGATGTTGGACGAGGCGGCCTTAACCTCCGTCTTCTGCTTCGACGTGACGTAGGCCGATGGCGCGTACACGGAGAAGTCGTATGTGAGGTACTGTTGCTCGTCTTGCGCAATAGAGGCAGGAAGGGGGCTGTAGGCCCGGAGGAAGTAGTAAGAGATGGTCAGCGTCTGCTGACCACCTGCCTTTAAGGGCGTGGGGAGCCGAATCTTGAAGTACTGAGTCTCGCTATTCACCTGTCAGTCTTGTCGTTGTGTATACCTAGAGCATGCGTCGCTTTCCACCTACCTTAAAGGATCAACCTCGACTACGTCGACAGAAAAAGGACCAGCTTCGGGGTTCTTTTTGTCCTTGGCCTCGAAGCCTCCAATGCGGGACATCTGGGCGGGGGTGAAGGGTAGATAGTATTCATCTTGGGGCTGCTTGTCAATGTTCTCAATCAAGACATTGATAGTCTCTTTGACGTAGTTTTTCCTTAAAGAGATAATGTGGACAAGGTTGGCGTTCTTGAAGACCTGGGGCGGCTCGAAGTTGGTGGGCAGGTTGACTTTGGACACCTTGTCTGCCGCGGCGGCGGTCGAGTCGGAGCTTGCGACGACCGGGGAGAGCAGGGTCAGAAGCCCGGCGGCAATGGCGAAGGCTCTCATGATGTGGGAGAGTTAATGAAGATGCTCATGGACAGCACGCTCCCGGCAATGAAGATCTAGAACGAAGAAAAGCAGTTGTTTAGGCGCAATTGGGGCATTCACTCCATTGCCGAAGTGACGATCTGGCTCCTGAGACAGCTACCTCCAGCCAAAGGGGCTTACGGAATACGTTGCTTGACGCGGTGCACAGACCATTTGCATCTGGGAGCTGTCGGACCGGGGTAGGGTTAATCCGGGCCAAAGCTCACGGGAACGGCCTAGCCTTCGGCCCCACATAGAGCATACAGGTAGGTACACCTGGTAGCTCCAGCCACACAGGCGCCTCTTCCACGTTTTGCTGTTGGAGTCTTGCGGGGCTTGGCAGGCAGAGCTCTACTCATCAATGGTGGCTGGTTTCAGCAGGCAGTCGGGGACTAGTGGGGTGGCAGCTTTTTATTTTTATTTTTTTAAGCTGCGATTTGTCCCTCAACAAGACGTCCCCCACCAGGTTCCGACACCAGACATGCCCTGGTAGTCTCCTTGTGCAGGTAGACCTGGGGGTACGTTCGGAGTTCCTACCTTGGACCAATCCGTTGACATTTGGGCAGATAGACAGTTGGCACAGTTGTCCATTTCACTGTGTGCTGCTGGTTGTCAAAATCACATCGATTTCAGATGTTTTCCGCCGCCTGTCTTACGCCCAATGCCAGGGCAACCCTAAGGTAGAGAAGGGATCCACCTCAAACCATGGCTCAGTAAGGCGGCTGCAAATAATCTCGTGGTATCCTCTGGACGAGGGTGGACGACTGGGAAAAAGATAGCAAGAAAAATCAGTGCTAGCTTCCCATGTGTCTGAGCTGGTGGCCGTGGCACCAAGACAAGAATGGACTGGCCCAGCAGTTTCGGGAATTGGAGACTCGGGTTGGAGCCAAGGGTGCCACAAAATAGGTACTCCGTAACCAAGGGATTAGGTAGGTGCCTAGGTAATCAAACCAAGTACTTACCTAGGTAGGTAGCTACAATGCATCGGCGTGCAGGTGGTGCTGAGTGAGGGAGTGCAGAGCTCTAATATGGCGCAGGACCTGACAACCTGACAGGGTTGAGTCCACCTGAAGTTTGAACCTCACCTCATTCCCCTTCGGTCAGATGATCTACGCCTCTTCACCTTTTCCTCAACGTCCCCTCGCTTGACACAAGCCCAGTGACTGTCCACTTCCGACACTGGCCACGCCTACGATCAATCCATCCTATCTACGACTTTTGTATACCCATTGCGCCATCGTCAGCTTCGTCGCGGCATCTCCTTTCTCGTCACCTAGAAGCCTAACCGCCACCCCTCACCAAGCTTTTACCCCGCCATCCACCTAAAGTTCCCATCAAAATGGTCGGTCTCGGTCCTAAGGTTCCGCCCAGCAGGAAGGGTATGTACACAATCGCGATCCAATTTCCCCTTCACTTTTTCTTCGGAATACCGGAAGCGTTAGATATGGTGGGGTCACGGATCTTGTGGCTACTGTCCGGCATCGAGACATTCTTCGAGATACTTCGATTTTCGAGACGATGGTAGCTATACCTACCCACGCCCACGCTGCTGGCACCCCCCGCCACACCCTCCCACTCATCCTCAACACCTCGTCCTCTTATCCCTTATCCGCCCACACCATCATCATCACCACCCGAGCCCAAACAAGTCTGAGAGGCAGATGGCGTACCCAATCGTCTCGGGCAACATGTTGCGCCACAAGGCTAGCCCGCTGAGCAACTTCCCCGGAGCTACCCCAAGCCAAGGGGTTCGCTCAGGCGCTCTCATGGGCATGGGCAAGTACAAACTATCCGGCGTTGAGCTGCAAGACATTGTCTCACTTATCAGACAATCCCCCACCTTATCCCCAGCTTGCTTCTTCTCCCACCACAACTTTCGCTATAAACAAGCTGGCAAGCACCGTTCCGGTCTGCTTGTCTGCTCTCCAGCCCTTTGTGTTGACCGCTACATTGCTTACTGCTTGTCTGTCATTGTTTGCGCCTTTCGTCTTGTTGTCCTGAAAGCTGCGCATCTATTCTCCACATACAATTGTTCCGTGATACCCTCGCACGCAAGTGTAGCACTTTGAGAGTGGCAGCTTTATTACCCTAGAAAGTCTTATCTCAGAGTGCCGTCACCATGACTATCACAGACAAGGACATTGCTCCCCACACCAGGGAGAAATCTTACCACCACACCAACATTTTCGTTCCTTCACGCCAAAGCAAGCACTACTGCTCCAGTCATTTTCCAGGGTTTGTCTCAGCTCGCTAACAATGGGTGAACCTCTAGGCTCAATGGCCGATGTGCCCAAGGACCTGTTGGCCGAGGTCAAGAAGCTGGAGGAGCAGTTCACTGTCCCCACCGAGAAGCTCAAGCAAATCAGCAAGCACTTCATCTCAGAGCTGGAGAAGGGTGAGCTTTGCAGTCGCACATCATGGGGAGGACTGAACAGAAGTTAACACGTCACAGGCCTCAGCGTTGAAGGCGGCAGCATCGTACGTTGGGAATATTCCCATGGCTTCCCACCGATCAATGACCATTCTAATCTCTTCGATAGCCCATGAACCCTACTTGGGTCATGTCCTTCCCTGATGGCAACGAAACTGGTACTTACCTGGCCCTTGACATGGGCGGCACCAACCTCCGTGTCTGTGAGATTACCTTAACAGATGTCAAATCCGAGTTCGACATCATCCAGTCCAAGTACCGCATGCCCGAGGAGCTCAAGACCGGACAGGCGGACGAGTTGTGGGAGTACATTGCCGACTGCTTGGCTCAGTTCATCGAGACTCATCACCCCGACCACCCTCAGTCTCAGAAGATCCCTCTCGGTTTCACCTTCTCTTACCCCGCTACCCAAAACTACATCGATGAGGGCATCCTTCAGCGCTGGACCAAGGGTTTCGACATTGCCGGAGTTGAGGGCAAGAACGTTGTGCCATTCCTCGAGGCTGCCTTGGCTGCCAGGGTAAGTCTCCGGGTGCAGAAGAGACGAGCTAGGCGCTGACGACTCTATAGAACGTTCCTATCAAGCTTACTGCCTTGATCAATGATACTACTGGAACCCTGATCGCCTCGGCCTACACCGATACCAAGATGAAGATTGGCTGCATTTTCGGCACTGGCTGCAATGCCGCTTACATGGAGGACTGTGGTTCCATCCCCAAGCTTGCTCACATGAACTTGCCTCCCGACACCCCGATGGCCATCAACTGCGAGTGGGGCGC